TTGATTCCCATACGTGTGTTAAAAAGCCAGAGTTTTTGCACTCCGTCGAGCTCCAACGCCATGCTTTTCATGCATTGACCTACTTGCTCTTTACTGTATTGAATTTTCTGGAATGCCGTGCAATCACCTCTGTGAGGCAATTGACGGACTTCGAATGTCGCATGGTATTCTGAAATAAATTAGCGATATTAATTTCAATCCTCAAACATTTTCCAGTTTGATAATACAACATTGTATTCACGTTAACGTTCGGCTTAGGAATAGTTTGAGATATTTTCAAAACGTTCGTCGCAATTGATGATAGAAGCTTTATAAAGACCCATCTTCCCTTTGATCTCCCTTCCAGTTTCTGTACCAGGGTGAACTTTCACGTTGAATTTGTGCATCTCTCGTTAACCGATCTCTCGCACTTTCTCATCATTTCATCTTGGCCACACATATCAGTTTCTGTCTGAACAGCCTGAAATTTCCCCGTGTCAAAGATGCCTCCCCGTGACCCGTTAATGCCTTCGATCAAGACATCGCAGAAGATGGATTAGGATGCTTAAAGCGATGAGTAATTCACTCTGAGCAAAGGTTGGCTGGCCAGTCGCTTCCATCGCAGTGTCTGCCTGTAACGTAACTTATCAGGCAGGTGCATTGGGTTTGACAATGATACTTCTTCGTGCCAGGATAAAACTTTGCCCTTCTGTGATCTCACCACACTCTTTGTGACATTTGGGGAGAAATTTGAATTGATGTAATCTTCTAGGTCATGGAGTAAACAGTGCTTTTTTAAATAAAAGATCTTACTCAAAACGTTGAGGTTAAACTCAAATATTAAAAACTACGCGTTGAAGTAAGAGAACACATTTTGGTAACTAATATTTATAATCAGTTTGCATCCTGCGAAGGTATCGTAAATTATGAAATCTGTCATAACCCAATACATGGATCTTTCAGAGGAAAACATTTCTAAGGGCAAATCTATATGTGACTATAATTATGATGAAAACTAAAATGAAAGTACTAAAATTATCACTAACGATCATTGATGGTGATTGAACAATGGCGATTTTATGACCATAGCTTCCTTTCACAGGGAAACACAGCGGATTTTTTTGGCATAAAATGTCGTCAGTGACGACCTGGTTCTATCTTCTGGTGCAGCCCTGAGTGCTCCACACACAGTTTGCTTATGGCGGAAAGCTGTGCATTGCTCGTGCGCAAGGTAATTTCTTATTGCTGTGTCAACACACTCTGATTGCTCAGTACGTTTGCGCAGTGTCGTCTTTCGTTGTAAGCACTCGTTTGCCCGCAGTCTACACCATGATACATTGTAGCTCCGCCTGCACTTCACAGGAACATCTAATGGGCGTTTTTTCTTAGAAATTTCGTAATTGCTCCATCGATTGCAGGGTTCCATTCCAAATGCATAATAGAATCTTCATATAAAGCATTCCAATTACTGTTAATTGCCCCAAATTAATTCTCACCATTGATACTGATAATATCCGATCCAAGATCGGCTACATACTCCTATACCTACTGACAGAACAAAACGGAATTTCACTTTAAAACACCGTTCGTGAAAAAGGTACAACGCTCCATGATATATGACGTTCATCTGGTATGATCTTAATACACCCACTCACTGCAGACCATGGGACGCATACTAATGCCTCGTCCTATCATACATGCAATCTTAAGAAGTGTGAACGTGATAGAAATCCTAATCCACCTAAAGAAATTGAACATATTCAAGAGAGTATAAGTTTTTCCTTCTAAACAAATGAGGAGTAGGCCTAAGTTATTTTAGCAGGATCATATTTTCATACTTTCTCAAATTAGTTTTCTAATACTTCTAAAAACTTCGAATTGACGTAATGCTTGGAATTGAAGTGTGTTCTCTCCCACTACTTAATAGCATAACTGAGACAATAAAAAGATCTCTATGAACAATTGTTAAACAGAAAAGGGCAATTACTGTGATATTGTTCAGTTGGAAAACAAAACGTGATGTAAAGGTATACTGTTTTATAAGCTAAGTATCGTCAGACCTATCGTCATACCTATTAACATTATCACGTAAAGAATCGTCGATTTTATATTTCTCTTTTCAAGAAGGCCGTTTGGGGTGTATGACATTTATTGCATGAGGTATTTCCAGCTTGGTTTTTTTAGCTCTTGCGTGGGGACTTGGATAAACTCCATCTTGACTAGCACTTGTCAATGTGCCCTGATAATGTAATGGTTTTGTCACAATCGCTGTGCTATGTAGAAAAAAACCAGGTACATCGGAAAGCGATATGCAAAAAGTTAATTTTACACAGTGCAGGTTTCATGTGGTTATCTTCTTGTGTTGGAAGTCATGCTAGAACATAAGTGTCTCGTATGCACAAGTTCGAGCAAAGCCGTGTCAATTTCGTGTGCTTTTCTAGCGAAGTTCACGAGGTAACACTATACCGTCATTGATCCCCTCCAGTCGGGAATGTAACGACTGTTGGTTTCAACTCTGCAAAGTTCATTGCCCATGCGCTGAGAAATAAGACAGCGCGATATCAGTCATTAGCTGGTAGGAACTGAACGAAAAACTGGTATTTATAAATATGTAAGCAACTGAGTTTCGGGTTATCGTCATGATTTATACACTCTCATAAACCGAGAATTATTCATTACTGCTTTGCATGAATCACCAAACCATAAACTATTGATGTTGAAGTGCTGACTTGCGCGAACAGCCGGTGTTTGTAAGTCAACGCTGTTGACAGCACCGAAGTCAAAGCATGGCAAAATTTAAGCTGGGACTTTGTCGATCGCCTCCTGCATTGCCAGAAACGGAATGATGCGAGTGTGAATCATATTTACCTTCGACTCATAGCGAATGAATCACGCAGAATCCTCAGCTTTACTGACAATATTGCGTGTGAATAATTATGATATATTTGTCAATGTAACGTTAAAGGTGGAACATTTGTACGCGTACAACCATGCTTTAGAAAATGTAGCTTCCAACATTTGAAAATAAAGTAGTTCAAATATGTTGCGCGGCAAAAAAATGAAATCGACCACAACATAATGGAAAATGTATGTTTTCTCTTGCATACTTTTTTCCCCCTTTGTACTTCTGGAAACCATATCAAACAACATGAAGATCAAAGGAAAAATAAAAGCATATGAACATATCGCAAAGGAACCCACCTCTCTTTCTAGGCCTTCCTAGATGTAAACTGTGTTTAATATTTTGTTACAAAGCTTCATACAGATTCTATATCTCTGTTGTGCAACCGACATTCCTTTAATAAAATCCTGGCACTCCTAATAGCTGCTTGAAATTGCAGATATTTATGCGATGCAACAATCTTACAATCATGCCAAAAGAGTTGGAAAAACGACAGACAAAACTTAGACTGTGATCAAAAGGCATTGGCATAACAAGCAGGCACACGCCATTCCATTCAGTAAAGTGAAGAAATTCAAAACGCCCATCAAGGAAGTGTACATTTGCTTGGAAAATAAACATTGATCAATACATTATGCAAAGCGAGCACGTGGAAAATGGTCGACATTACAGGCATACGAGAACAACTTTACGAACATTTCCACCTGATCGTTATTCTCGACGTGATTGATTGCGTGTCGATAGTATTGTAAACGGGATTTTGGATTCATGTTTCATTGTTTTCTTGGAAAAAACCTCATTATAACTACTTCAGCGCTGTTGAAAATATTAATTTGACGACACAGTGAGGACCTAATGCATAGGATCTGGTGCTTAGTGCGCACTGATCACAGGGAACTCCATCAGCATGGTCGATGTACAAACGATATCCACACTCGACAAAGTGTAAAATAGCCCTAATTACCACGCAGTTTAATACGTTGTTTGAAGTTCGTAAAAATTTACACGGAACAGCCGTTGTCTGAACGTAGGCTGGCCATTGATTTGCCTCCCGAGCGACGAGGAGAAGGCGATATCACTGGGATTCAATGCCGTCATATTGACTTTTGTCTCGCGATTTGGAGCAAAAGGATAGCTTGTTCCCTCCTCCATATCACACGAAGGATAATATAGACAGCCACGCACGGCCAGATTACATATATACACAGTGGTGATCAGCGACGAGGTTGGCAATAAATGCAGAAATTTATGGGAATCACCCCGGCACGAGATACGTTTACGCGAGTGTGGGGACTTTCAATATTCCTGTATAAACAAAACCTTATATAGGTCGGCTTTAGTTGCAGACAATTTTACTGGTGAAAATACCGCTACAAATGGCAAGGATGCGCCCTGTTGGGGTTTCTAAGAAGCTGTATTCAGTCCAAAAATGATATCATGGTAGAAAAGAATTGCTAGGATCTTACAAAATTTCGGTTTATAATAGACTGTAGTGACCAACCATAGCAGATTGACATGAAAGAATTTTTAGTTGAAATTCCCCCCCCCCCGTGACTGGGTGCAATAAATGGAAAATTCAGGGCACTCTATACATATATATTTAAAGTTATATTCAGTGCAGCCAGCAAGCCTTGCTACAAGGGTTAGGCGCATTTCGGAATGTAAGTGGTCGATCGATCGCTCGGCGGGGAAGATTATATGTACCACGGCATTCTGTAAATCATTTCATGAAAAAGGGAAAGGTTTCCTGGGACGTGAATACTATGCATGTGCACAGATTGACTTTGCATTAAATGCATGTTTTTTCAATGAACTGGAAAAGGTTTGGCCAGTGCATCAGATTATATACATCAGATCTGCCAAACATGCCGTGTACTCCTTCCCGAGGTCAGGCATTACCACACAATATATTGAAAAAAATTAAATGAACTGAAGGTTCATTTTAATACGTTTTAATCATAGTGTGGTAATGCCTGACCTCGGGAAGGAATACGGCATGTTGGCAGGTCTAATACATGCATATAATATTATTTGATCATACTCGAAAAATAAACAGGCTTTTTGTCTTTTAGTCTTTCAGTTTTAACTACCAATATTCTCCCTGTTATTTTCTCTCCAGAAACCCGCGAATCAAAACTGGGCTCCAACACATCACTATTACGAACCTTTAAGTACACAACCGTTGCTGGCCTTATCATCCATATAACAGCCTGTGTGTGGTATTTTTTAGCCTGCGATGGTTGGCATGATGGGCTCCCTAATGCGTGTCAAAATGACAGCTGGGCCTTGAACTTCGACCTTGGTAAGTAAAAAATGTTTTCGTCGCAATGCCCTTAGTTTCCATGTATTTTGGGATTTTGAAAGGATATATGTACACTTTACATGTATACTAATAATTATATCAAATACGTGGTTTAATGTTTGTGCGTAAACCTATTGCTTCGCCGTAACCATAGGACCAAGACCGACCTGGACACGAAATTATAGCCTATGACTATTTCATGGGAATATGGCATTTAACACCGGAATAATAAGCTCTCGTTCATAGTATAACCACAAGAGAGTACATTAGAGGTTTTAATATTGTGTTATAACACGTTGTACCTGCACGTGACCCTTGCGCTATTTCTGGATCCCAACGTGCACAGTGATCGCAATAATCACAATTAGTCTGTGGGGAATTTTGTTTCGTCGTATACGATATTAATACGGGCGATTCGCAGTAGTACGCCTCCAAGAGTTTGCCACGCGTTGATCAATCACTTTGCGCGAACTCTGTCGACCCAATGGGCGTTTGAAAAGGGTCGACAGATTTCGCTCCTTGTGGTGTGGTTGTAAACTTGTGGAGGCGCACTCTTGTGAAACGCCCGTATTAAGGTCATTGGTTATGTATGGGCCTGTATGTGTTGTGAGTTTTTAATGATTAAGACTTACTCATCATGTGCAATCATCAGGATTCTTTGGAAATCATAATTATATGGATACCCCTGATTGGTGGAACCGTTTTGAGTGCATAGCTTCGATTCACCAGTTGAAACGTTTAGTTGACAACTGGGGGCGCCGTCGCTGTGATGTCATCTAAGGCGTACGTCACGTACTGCCCGGTCGAAGTTTTCCCTGTCCAATTATGAACCAAAAAAACGCAGCTCCCTGAAAATATCTGTGCTGGGAGGTTGCTTATTGATTTCCTGAGAGGTATCGTACTTTATGCATAAACTATAATGGTTGAGGTAGCTTCAATATACTACCTTTGCCAATGACGTCACATTATTTGCAACATGTAAATTATAACACCAATAAGCGCCCCCCCCCCCGAAAAATGGGTAATATTTTTTTTTCTATTACTACATGTCTTTACGTGAAAATGCATAATACTGCGCAATATTTACTACCCGTTTGTACCAGTATCAACCATTTAATAGTTGACGATTATCGCATTGATGATATGTTACGAGAGCCGTACTGGATTGCTCGGAAAAGGCGCCTTGTCTTCGCATCAGTTGTTCAATTCTGCACTTTTGTTCAATACATCGATATGGTAGACAGCGCGAGGTTTTAAATACGACGACAGAATATGCACAGCCAGGGATATTCAGACACACCGTCTCTCCAGCACCAGGCATTACAGCAATTACGCCAAAAGAATGAAATTAGCGCCAAATTACGAGTCCTCTAACAGGTCCAATTTCCAAGCAGCACTCTCTTTCAAATGCTCGGGGCGATTTTTGGTCTTCGGTGTGTACAGCAAGGCTAGACATTTTGTTTTTAGTGTTAGCGCTGCAGGCGATGGGCCCGTGGTGAAACGCGATCCGAAAATTGAAAGTGGCGACCAGTAAATAAAACTTGCAGACATTGTGAGGTATCTGTTAGGGTAACTTGAACGGGTAGTTCCGCGGAGTGAATAGTATCAAGATATTTCCGACATAACAAATCATCTTTTTCAGAACTTTATAATTTTTAAGTAGCGACAGAATTACTCTTATAGTGGACTGTAAGTATTGAATTAAATGTTCAGAAACAAGTTTGTTGCCTGTTTTACTAAACAATGGAGATAATTTTCACATTTGGTTTGGGGTTATTATGAGTGACATTAATTTCAGTGCATAAAATTAGTCACACACATGCATCGTTCAAGGTACACGTGCGTTTATGGTTGGGGCCTACAGCACCGTGCTATGCATGGCAAGCTATACGCCTGCCATTATAATTTCACACCAATTGCCCTGAATCCGTCCTAGATTTGGCAGGATGCACAGGGCGTTGCATGACCGTTCCTGATAAATTCTGTCGCAGGGGAGCCGAACCAGGAACATGAGCACGACTGTTTGACAGGCCATCACTCAAAAAGTACACCGACCTTTCACACATGCATAATAATCGTTGATGGCATGTTCTCATTCACATTAGCAGGCATTACGGCTGCTTAATATTGGCGTTCACAGCCAAGGATTCATGTCGCGCCTAGGGGCCTGTGTATTATTGCCGACTGCCCTGCAAAGAGCATAATTGCATGGAGTAGGCCTAGATTGACTCCCCTCATCGGGAAGATTATGGCGTCAAGGTTGAATGAATTGGCCCTTGTCGATCGCACAACCATCTTAAATCATTGCGATGTTCAAACACACTGTTGTTTCAGAATAACTCAATCACAGCACATTTAACAGGCACGTACTTTTTGGAAGATAATGGTTGAGGCAGAGACAGATTCAGGTCGATGAGCATCGCAAAAAAATAGGCCTAGGCCTAATGGTGTCAATTTCACGCACCGATGAGTGCAGTTTCACCTCAGTAGTTATAAGGAAGTAAATACCAGCAGGAGGCTCTGTGTAATTTCGGTGGAAGCTTTTAAAATCAAAATCAATAAATCAGTCATGGAGACCCAGATGATAATCCGCATCAATCGGATAGCATGTTTAATCGAATTGGGTCAAATCCGTCCCAGATGCTACCCGCGCCGTCAACAGCTGAAAAGGGCCTAGCCTCAACACGTGAAGATTATGCCGCACTGTAAATGTAGCACAGGCGGGAAGACTATAAAACGCATCCAAAAACCGGGATCCCACAGATATTAATGTTATTGCATATGGATATAATCTTTCTACAGGTGCCGATATCAGGAATATCAGTGCCGGAGAGTCCTACGTTATCGCCTTGTATTGGTCCGTGGCTACTGCAACTTCAACAGGGTAAAAAAAAGTTCAGATTTTTTTTTTTTGGGGGGGGGGAATGTATCTCTCTCAGGCAAAAAGACGTGCATTGTCTTTCTTTTAATTTGGAATCGATGCCTGGATGATTGATTATTAGAGAACGAAGCTTGCGTGAAGGTCATTTTAAAGAACAATTAGCAAGCTATTTCAGTGGCTGCATAATACGGGCGATTCATAATAGAGCGCCTCCAAGAGTTTGCAACGCGTTGGCCAGCAGTCACAATCGCGAAATCTGTTGACCCAATGCGCGTAGGGAAAGGGTCGACAAATTTCGCACCTTGTGATTGGCCAACGCGTTGCAAACTTTTGGAGACGCACTGTTGTGAATCGCCCGTATTGTACCTTGTAATGAGTCCGTTTTAACCGGTGTCGAGAATTAATTGAATTATATTAGAGATGCAGTTCTGACCAGACTCACATTATTGACCAGGTATGGCGATATTAGTGCCGTGAACGCAGGGGAGAAGTGGGTATCTATTTTGGCCATGTTGATCGGCGAGGGCGTCTTCTTTGGGATGATTCTCGGCGGGATGGCCTCCATGCTCACCAACTTTGACGCACAGAGGGCGCGCTACACACATCGCTTCAACGTCATCAAGCAAAGTTTGGTTAGTGACTGAAGTCCGCGCCACTTTGGTCAAATACAAATTGAATTTCAAACGTGTAATTTGTAAATACCAAAAAAACACAGGAAATGACCACAGCATTCAGACTCCACTCTGTTGGTTGTGTAGAAGCTCTGTGGATGGAGAGTTTAGTGCATTTTCGAAGTATTTTCTTAATATGAATTATTTTCCTCTCCCAGATTCATGCCATTTCAACATGACTGACCTTCGTTGAAATCACAACTGCATGATAAAAAAAAGTGGAGGCAGGATGCAATATTCTTTCCGAACAGAGAACATACAAGACAGAAACCCAGAACACCGCCCTGTCTAACATTTAACTTCGTGTAAATTAAATCTGTTCACTCCTAGAAGGACGAAACAGTGACAGAAGATCTGCAGAGGCAAGTGGTGGGTTATTATGAATACCTCTGGTTTCGAAAAAAGGGAGTGACGGACGACAGTCTGATCAATGCCATGCCGCTGACCTTCCATGCAGAGGTATCGCTGAGCGGAAATAAGTACATCTTGGATAAGGTAAGATATGATACAATGCTTGTTTAAAACGGTTTGTAAGCACTGCCTAATGACAATGCTGACGACACATTTCACCGATCAAAATGTTTATGATTAAAATGTCATATGAAGTACTAAGTGCAAGTCGTGTGATAAACCTTGTGAAATTAATGCAAAATTTCAGGACTGTCAGTTTTAAGAACGGTCACTGTACTAAGGCTAGTCTACTCGTGAACTGAGTGTTGTCTGATAATATTACTTCCTTGTAGAATCAAGAACACCAACCGTGCATGATCAGCTCCATTTATCAAAAAACTTCACCAGGGCATAATTATTTCTGCCACGGCTTTTAGGTTTGACCGTAATTTTCGATTAACAATACCTTTATGCTTTACATCTGCACCAGTACAGTAGTAGGTGAGAAAATGTTGACAATACCTCATTTTATATCTTCATTTAGGCACCGATGTTCAAGGGAATGAGTGAAGGGTTTATGCGCATGCTCTCTCTAGAGATCAAACCGTCTCTATATCTACCAGGTCAAATGATCGCCTACCGGAATGAGATCTGCCATAATATGTACTTCATCCAGAGGGGGGAGGTCGAGGTAAGTAACAGCTTACATTATTAACGCAGGCCTTTAATTAAACAATATATTCACCGTATGTTGCTAGTCTGAGATCCCTGGCGAATCGGAACCGGTGTAACATTCATAGGCCAACTTTAACGATTGATAATTTAAATCGATAACCTAGTTTGCAATACATGTATACCGAACAGAATGACGCAGCCAGCCTTTTCCTTAGTTTCATATTATTCCTTGCGTCCCTCAGTACGATTTTTCTGCTCTCCCTGAGATCTCCAAAAGATGCCGGAAACGAAACAGTTTTAATAAGTGAATAAATATGGGCATTCCTGTTGATGAATACCTTTTTTATTGCAAGAATCAAAAGAAGTCAACATGTGATGGATTTCCGATTTGTTCTAAAACTTTACTTTCACTTTCCTGAACACCCCCGTCCATTTTATGGTATGTTCCTTTAGAAAGTTGTCCGATCTGCCTCGAGTTGAAGTGCACCCCAAAGCGGTAAAAGAAAGACTGAATGGTTTTCCAAGCAGGTTCCTGTACGCGTTCTGTGTGTACGCAAAGACCATACATTAAGGAATAACTTCGTTACGCGTAGTCCCCGAGCTCCGCGTCAAACGCGCCATTGATTTCTATTATAAACGCGCGCCTATGCAGTGAGTACAAAAAAGCCCTTATTTGTTCCGTTTGGAGCGGATAGAATCCCCTTCAACGAATCTGGCGCGCGCGTGGCGCTTGGAGCTTGGCGCGTTGCGCACACGCAGACTCCTGACCAATCAGACCCGATTAAACTGTCTCGTATCCATGTGCCATCGTGTGATTTATGCAGCGGGCATTATCAAATGTTAACGCACGGTCACGTTACGCATTTCAATCAAAATAGAAAAACTGTCTAAGGTATTTATGAATGTTATTATATAACTACAAGTCAACGGCGTGCACATTAGTAAGAGACATCGACGTCACACAACTTACATTGTGCCCTTCGACCGGCCTAAAAGTGAAGTCACCACCACTGATTCCAAATTTGCTGCACCTCGCTCGATGAAGTAACATGACAAAAACGTTGAAGGGTTAGAGTCTATGAAATTGTTCGAATTATGATGGCCATACAGTATATGTACCTCTCCTTAACGAACTTTTATTAAAGTGGGTTGTTGTATACGCCCGAGCGCGCTCGCCGATCGCCCTATCGGTCTAGTGTGATAGCGCCCTCTCTTGGTACGTTCGGTCTTGAAAATCATAGTGAAAATGGCTGGCGCGCCGGCGGGATATTTGCTTTTGCATCGCTGGCCTGCTGCACGTACAGTATTTAGGTTGGCCTACATCAAGTTGTACGGGATGTACGGAGGTTTGCATTTTTTGGCGTTTTTATTTGTGGGTTTTTGCCTGTGGAAGAAGAGAAAGTGTCGAGACTTGTAAAGTTATGTTGGTTTTACGGAAAATTTGTGCACCCGATTCCTTGCTCTAGAGTATCATCACCAGATCACGGGGTTGTATACTTGGGTTGGGACCCCCCCCCAGTTTGAGATATATGCAATCACACGTATGAAGCCAAACCACGGTTCACAACCATGCACAACGCATGACATCTATGATGCTCAACCAACCGTAAAAATCTTAGGCTCCTGTAATATTTGGGCTATAGAAATAGAATTCATCCAAACTTTGTAGGGGGTGTATAAAGTCAAGGTTTATAATCATGAATGTTGAGAGCTTGTTGATATTCACTTTTTGGTGATGTTTGAGGTAAAAATATGAGCAAGGCAGTAGACTAGAGGCAAAAATAGAAATCGAAGTGCACCATTAGGGGCCATGGCATGTTAGGGAGGCCTCTGCAAACAAACCTGATTGCAGAATACGGGCGATTCAAGTAAGGGTACTTTTGTAGTAATTACGCAATATTACAGTGAACTTCGTATATGGAATTCTTCCCTCTGTCGACCCTTTCCAAACCCGCATTGGGTCGACAGATTTCATGTACTGTTATTGGTCAACGCATTGCAAACTCTTGGAGGCGCACTATTGTGAAACGGCCGCATTGCAGACAACATATGACGTTGCTCATCCCATGACGTCATTCACCCGTGTACATGTTTTGGTTTGCTGTCTCAGGTCTTATCTGCAGAGGATGACGATACTCCAATCATTTCGCTCAGGCATGGCAAGCTCTTTGGGGAGGTAAGCCAATAAACCTTGACATGAGCAATGCATCATGGGATTGGATGACAAGCACATGTATGCCGTGCATGTTATGCACGAACCTACCGAAGACGTTTACAGTCTCCAAAACAAGGAATCTGTTTCCATTCGATATTCAAGCCAGCCTCTTCTCAAGCAGTATTCCATTGTAGATTGGGGATAAAGATATTCACCTAAATCTAATCTGAAAGCTTTGGCAGAAAAAAAACACAGAATTATTTCCATGGACACCAGTTTCTATCTTAAACGCTGGTCTTGACCAATCAGAATAAGGATTGATCTTGAATATCAGCGAGCTAGTCTTGGCCAATCAGAATAAGGATTGATCTTGAATATCAGCAAGCTAGTCTTGGCCAATCAGAATAAGGATTGATCTTGAATATCAGCAAGCTAGTCCTGGCCAATCAGAATAAAGATTTTATTTCACATCTCACAGAGACTCGTACCTTTGAAAAAGTCATTTAGGGCAATTTTTTTCTACTCTTAAAACTTTGGATTTGTTTTGGTAGCTTTAAAAACATGTGTTGAAGAAAATGCCTGCATCTGTGATGTTTTAAAGAGTGTTTAGATGTACATGTATATAGGAGAGATTCTGGAGAAAAAGGTTACTTTGTGTTCAATTGACAGGTTCACTTACTTCCGTAGGTGTATGACATGAAGGTTTTTTGTTCTCATCACAAGAAAAGTTAGGAGGGGAGAAAGATAAACAGATGGAAGCTTTTCCCTCAAAAAGTTGGAGCTCTAGGTGTTGACCTAGTATCCGCCTTGAGCAGAAGCACCCCCTCATTGGTTGAAAAGAGCCATGCTGGTGGGAAGTGTTCATTTTGTTGGGAGTGACGCAGCTGCAATGCTTGCATTTCCTAGTCGTTCGTGAACCAGCGATGCGCAGTTAGTACCAAAGGAGCCTCTGTTGCTGAGGAAATAGCGCCCTCTCTTGGTCCAGCGAGAGGCCCGTACTACATGTATTTTGATAAAGTCATTTTGGTCCATTAAGCACACATGTATATGTCTCTTAACTTTTTACGATCATGTGTTTTGCTGAATAAGAGGAACCTTTGTCCTTAAATGTGCTTAACTACGGGGCTCCTTTTCCTGGCTGCATGAGCTTGGAAAGGCGATGCCATTAGGCCTACATGTACATGAATATATCTGTCGGGGTAAGAGAACCTCCCCTTTGTCTGTGCTCAGTCCATTATTTTGTCTTTTTAGGTCAGTCTTGTATTCAGCATGCCCAGGACTAACAGCATTCGAGCCGCTGCCCATTGTGACCTCATGGTCCTGGACAAGGCTGACCTGCAGAACGTCTTACATCACTACCCAGAAGGTTGGTATCGAACTGGTTTCTTCTAAATCCTGTTCAAAAGATAAAGGTCTGCTCACAATTCTCTTACAGATGAAATCGGAACAAATTCCACTAAAATTGAAGTTTCAGCTTAAGTGGTGTCGTTCTAAACTTTTACCATTTGTGTAATCTCAAAATGGACATGAGGATAAATTAGCTGACATATAACTTTTGGATCATTGCCGGATAAATAAAAAGCATGGGTCGTGAATATATGACACAAGAACGTCTTGGTTATCAATTAGTTGCTAGGAAGTTGCAGCGTATTGCCGAGGAGCGATGCGATGCCGCAGGAAGACTAGAGGAGCGTGTTCGTGCCGGGGAGGGAATTATACCAGCGTCCAAGAGCCTACGACGACTGTCTCATGCCAGTACTCACTCACCAAGTACGTGGTCACAGCCACTTGACCTTTTAGAGTTGCAGGCTTTGTTTAACGGTCAATGTTTAACTTGAACTTTTATCACAGAATCCCGTTTTATGCGTCGTGATTCCCATTTGCCCTAACCATTCTGAATCCAACAGGCATATGCATGATTTCAATGGTCCCTAGGGGGTTAGGGTTAGTCCGATAACACTCTTCCCTAGAAAAGCACAAGCACTTATCACAGAGGACAGATCTCAGCAGATCACCGATCACCGAGGAAAAAATCTTTGGCTCCCTCTAAGTGCCTGTTGTCAGTTTTGTATGTATACCTTGATGCTGTGTTAATTTGAAATAAATTTCAGGTGAATGGAAAATGTTACAATGTGACCACTTGTAAGGATTTCAGTGGGTAGGTCACTGAGGTGGCTTTCATTGCTTTTTCTGGTCTGCGATGTTTAATAAGTGGGCATGGCCAATTTTCGTCAGAATGTCCACAATGTCAAATGGTTTTATGCGTCTCTCAAATCTCTCAATTTGCGACATAACCATGCCAGCACGGGCCATGGGCGAGATTGGCAGACTTTGATTTTGTCAGCGTCCGATTTCACTTTTCCTTCAGGACATTCTGGAACCCAAGCCAACATGAGGCCAGACCAGTACGGCAAGAAGTCAATGGAGGCATTTGACATCGAGGAGCTAGTGAGCGTTCACCACGGCTCGTGTGCCGCGGTAGGTCTGTGCCTCAAAGTCAGAATGCCTTTGGAAACTAATCAATTCCACTTTCACTCTAGATTTTCTTCAACATTGATTGACTAATACGAGGCACGCAAACACTCATTTTTCATTTCACAAATTCTTCTAAAGTTCAAATAGTCATGCACTTTGGGTATGTGGTATCCTAAGGACTACTTTTAAATAATTCAGTCATACATGAATAATGATTATATCTTGCACAAAAGTGTTCCACAAAGGAGATTAAAATTCCACATCAGAACCCTCCACTTCCATATTTAATATACAAGTCTTGTGGCCCAAAATAATACGTCTTTGGTAGACTTAGGAGAGGTAGATAATAATGGAATTCTTCAGTGCATGGGCCTATGAACTTTCTGTGAAACTCATTTCTTTGTGTTGGAGAAAAAAGTTATCCATAATCTTCACTTATCCTTATGCTCAGTTATCCTTACATTTGTATGCTCTTTTCTTGTGCTGTCTTTGAGAGGGGTTGCGGTTGAATTAATTGGCACTTTTGCTGGAAATATTTCTGGATTATCTTCAAATTCTTCACTGTCAGAAATCTTAAGTGTATAGAACTTTAACTTTCCAGAGGCATTATGTCTCATGTATTCCAGTAGTTGGCCTCTACCTTCTTCAACCCTGCAACATCTTTCTAAATCTTCTGATAGATTTTGAAGGATCTGAGAATGTTAGGGTTACTATCATGGATATGCCTAATTCTTGGAATCGCTAAACCAAAAGTGTTTGTGTATGTGTCACTAATGAGCTTATGTCACTCATGTGCTTATCTTATGCCTCATTAGCAAAGCCCGTTAAGGATTGTTCAGCCGGTAAGATTCTAACCCAGCTAGTGTTGCATGCTCCTTGTTTGTTGTAAATTGTGCTACTTACAACTAGATGGTGTCATTGTTTTGTGAAGGTCTCCATTTTATGTGGTCCTGCGATGACATTCATGATTTGCTTTCTGCTACATGCGTGCTAGGTATAGATATATTGCTCGCTTCTCTTTTTAATCATGTGCGATGAATTGACAAGAGATGAATTTCTGCAAAGTTACATTGCATGTACGGTTTGTCTTGAAAGTCGGCCGTTGATTTGGAGGCAAGACTTGAAAATGTTTTGTGTTGATGCTGCAATTTTGTTTTTTTGGGTAGAAAATTTTGTTGTAGAATTGTTGGTTTCTAATACATGTGCTTCTTTCAGGATGCATCGCACCCACGGCGATGCACCTCCTCATTATTACAGGCAGCATTTGTTCAATATGTTATTATTTCTGGTAATGGCATCAAGGATTCTTCAAAAGTGCCCCAGGCACTGTAGCTCGCAAACCTGAAGAAACCTGTAGAGAGGAGACAATGAGAAGCAGTATCAGTTTTTGAGGTGGGAGGAAAACCCCAGAGGAATATTCTGGGTAAAACCCATGTGCCAAAAAGTAGCAGAACAAAATGTGAGAAAGCATGATGTCTTTGAGATGGAGTTGGCAATCCTTATGAATATTCATTCTCACTGTTAATTTTTTCATTGTTTGGAGTGTAGAGGGTGCATCGCCAGTTAGGTCAGTGGTGGGAGGATTTCTGGGAGTTGATCACAGAGACGGTGGTGATGCCCGGCTCACGTTTTGCCAAGCTGTGGGAACGAGGCGTGCTGGTCATCACGCTGCTCATCTCGGTGCTGTACCCTTACTGTGCCAGCTTCATCGGTGAGCGTGTGTCTTGTCCCCAGAATCACCTCTCGGGCTTTAACGCAAATCTCCGTGTTGCAGTGTAAATCAATCACATGTTCTGTTAGAATCCTGTCACATTGCCTAGACACTGTTTTTGTGCTGCACATGTGCAGTACAAAACAGAGAATGTCGTGTGTCAAGTTAAAGGTTGAATTTCTTTGATTGAACAACCATTATGTTTTCTTCATTACAGCAAACAGTGGGGCTGGGAAAGCACCAAATGTGGACGTAAATGGTAGGAGAATAAATTGTGACACTTTGTGACAAGTTATGGGAAAGGGGAATTTACCGCCATGGAGATGACATCATGGCAGGAATTCCAAATTTAAGGGGAGGGCAGATACGTGGTAGGGTATGGACTGTACATTTTGATGAAAATTTCCAATCGGCTCAGTTAGCGAGACTGTCGATGCTGAATTTGGTTGCCTTTTCACGGCTCTTCGTTGCTTAATAAATTACAACGGCTGTATTCACCCCTCAAATTTGATTGGCTGTTCATTCCGTCAATTGGACAGATGATGCTGGCGACGGTGATTCCGACAATCTTTTGCTGTTGACGCTCATGTACATCATGGACTTTGTGCTCCTGTTTGACATCATCGTCCGACTGAGGACGGCTGTTTCAACACCAAATGGTAAATCAACCTCTTAGCGCTGGGCTTATTTCACAGCAAACCAGCACCCAGGTGCAGGATTACATTTTGCCCCACATCTTGAATTTGTAAAATGACAAAATTGTATTTGTCTTCATAGAACTTATTGAAATGAGAAGGAACTGAATCTGGAATTCTGCTTTGAATATTTGTTCCTTCTGTTGCTTGACCAACAAATGGATTGGATCCAGTGTACCATTAAAGAAAAGCTTTAAAGAGATTTATTGTTTGTTTTCCTCAACATCGGTCGTCTTTCCAGGCACATACAAGGACTTCAAGAGTATCCGTGAGCACTATGTCAAGAGCGTGGGCTTCGCGCTTGATGTGATCGCCATTCTGCCACTGGATTTCTTCTCATTGTTGGTACCCGAGGGCAAAGACCGCACTAATGCACTGTACTTCCTTTCCCTGAACAGATTAGTCAAAGCCTGGAGGGTGAGTTGGTCGACTTTTTGTGGAACGTTTGAGTAATTTCGCCAAAATGCCCCACCCCCCCCCAAAAAAGTTCAATGTCATGAACGCTGTTGCCTACTCTGGCAATGAGATGAAACATTTCAGTAAGCGCATCATCAAAGCAGTGGCAGTTTTCACACCTTTCTTCATTTTCTCAAACTCTTGTCAATTTGAACTTTTAAAATGGAAGGAATGCTTGGAAGCAACATAGGTATGAACTTTACAGTATTGAGGAAAAGAGAAAAAAGTTCGTGATGCTTTCCTTTTCTTTGGCAGGTGAGTTTATAGCAACATTCCCCTTGGTGAATTCCGTATTCCTCACATTGTGGAATCCAGTGTTCCTTCTTATTGCTATACTACTTAGGACTTACGTGATCAAGGCCTGCTTGGTTTTTGTTGGTCTGAAGTGGAAATGTTTTGTAACTTTCACCTCAGATGCCCAACTATTTCAAGAACTTGGAGAAGGATCTGGATGTGAACATTGCCACCATCCGATTCTTCAAGTTCTTCATCTACATCGCTCTGCTGTCTCACTGGAGTTCCTGCCTCTGGTATCTTGTCACCTGCGACACAGGAAAGTAAGTCAAAGGTGTCCCTCCATCTGCTCATCTTTGAGAAATTCTTTCAGTCCTCCGGAAATCCTTATTTAACCCCTGTCTTTAATTTGAAGTCAGACCCTGATTATGAAACCAGTGGTTGTCAACTCAATGTGTTTGTTGTTCAAATGCTCCAACCATATTGAAGTTGAACGCACAAGCACCCGCCCCTTTTGCCTGTGTGGGGCAGCTCCAAATTTACAGCCCTTTACTTTAAACCCTCTAACCCCCTATACTGTTTAAATAGTCACAGACAGTAAAAAAAAAAACCCCATATTCCCAGCTACATGTACACCGACCACACGCACGTCGCATGTCACTCGATTGATTTTGACCGTTAGGATGGCTTTGTCCAATTTGTCAAGGTGAGAAGAAGTCAGGGGGCTATTACAGCAACAAATCCAGCATTTTATACAAAAGCATCTGGTACTAGACTGTAAAGTTCTCCGCTTAAGTCACAAGAGTTCCTGTCTTTTCATCAGGCATAGCGCCGATCATTGTCTGTTTATATTAGAACAGGCCAAGTTTTTGTGCACATACTGATGGGAACTGAGAGTCAAACAAAGGGATATTTGACAAATTGAAAGACTCACCTTTGCCGTCTTGGGCAATATAAAGTGCCAGGCACACGATCAGTTCTCACACTTTCTTTGTTTTAATGAGCTGCAGTGTTTGAGTCATCTTTCTGCATACTTACGTATGGATGTCTGCACAATTGTGGGTACCGGAGAATTTTTGTTTAGCCACATTCAAATATTTCAATCTTACATTCACCAGTAGGCCTGTCTTAACCCAGGTTTTTGACACGCAAGTAGAGTATTTGTCCCCGTTTGCTTATTTTTTAGAATGTCACCAACTGGCTGTTGTCAGAAGACAATCCCCACTGAGATCATGCCTTGTGTGTTACACATTTATTTTATATCCTCCATTGTTTCTTATTTTGCCCCCCTCCTTTCTAACCCATGTTATCATTTCCCTCGTGACATTTCTGTTCTGAACAGCTGTCAGATGGACATGAAGACTTCCGAAGCAGATTTTGTGTTTAACGTTAAGGGTGCCAGGTCAGAAATTGAGTCTCTCTCATTGTACGGTTGTCAATGTGTGAACAGTTTGGTGTCATACAAACGCACATCTTCCGTATTTATATATTTGTGAATTTGCACTTGCACAGTCGTCAGAATAACTAGCATCAGCATTGCCTTTTTTTTTCCAGTGTGATTTGCTTGACGCCCGTAACGTATGTTCTTCTTGCATACTCCTTTAGATAAAGGAAAACTCTTTAATATTGGTGTGTATAGATAAATCTGAGCGCATAATCATTTTGAATAATTAAGGGAAGGCCTCTGGTAATCAGTGATGTTTTTAGGGCATAGGAGTTTTCTTGTCGGTGAACCCTTTGATGTTGTTGGCAAATTTGGCACTGTAACTATTGGCTGATGAGGTTGCCACCTTCAACATTTCCTTCTGTAATTATAACATTTTCCTTGGTCCCGTCCATATTTCTACCCCCAACCTCTTCACTTCCAAACTTGCGGTAGGTTGAAGCTTTCGAGTAAAATTTTTCATGGCCCCTACCCCACAGTCTATGGGCAGATTTTGATCTAATGTAAAAAAAAAAGTGGTCAGGAGAGCTGAAAGAAAAACCCTAATGGTGGGCCTTCCCGATATTCACAGATAACGTGCGGATTCATCTATATCACACAGCAAACTGGATGTGTGGAGGTTTTAAAGTGACATAACACGACGGGCAAAGGTATTTCAGGAAGCATACCATGCCTGTGGAGGCATGTGCATTTTCCAATCTGGGTTCTTCTGTTGGCAGTTTCACATACGCCAGAATGTTGAGAGACTTTGAAGGTGTGGGCCTTTCTGTGCCCATCTGTGTAAATTGAATGGTGACTGTCAGTCATGTGACTGAAAATCCTCTATACGAATTACGTCCTACATGTAGGAAAAAGAGTGGGTAACACATAACCAATAATTTGCTTGCTGGGGATGAAATAACGCTGTTAATATGTGATAGTGAAAAGCAGTGGGCGCTGTGAAGCCGTCACATGGGCAGGAATCCATTAGTTGCCTTGAATAACACCGTGCTAATCAACTGGAATTGTGGTGGCTTTGTGAGGAATCGTAAGAAAATAATGGCAATTGAAACAGTTCAAGCAAACTTGCAGTGCGGAAGTAAAAGTTTTAACCCCTACTAATTGTTTATCAGTTCAGCCCCATAGTATCACATGCAGTTTCTAGACACATGTCTACATTTTACTGAGGAAAAATCTCGCTCAAGGTGTGGGTTGTTGGCATTATTGTCGTCTCATTGATGAAAAAGGAAGCGGTTAGACTATCGTCGGGATGCCTTACCACTGTCATGACCACGTGTCAAGCTCCGCATCAAGACCATGGGTTGTGCACATTTTCAGCTTGAAGTATAAACGTGGGTGTATTCTGTGCCATATTGAGTGTGACTGGCAGTTCATTTACTAAATGGCTCTAGACAAGACACGAGTATCAACTTTCACCAAAAAGGAAGTGTAGCAATGATGGTTTTGATCAAGAGAGTTCTCTTCTAAAATATTTATGTCAAACTTGAGCAATGTACAACTAAATGACCAATAAGCTTATTGCATGTCTTAACTGTCGCTGATCCTAACAAGTGTCATGCAGTAATACACGTATTTGTCGCACAGTCAAAGATAAAAACTGACGTTTTGTAATGCTACAGTAATAAATGTTTTTGACCTGCTGTCCATACGCGGCTAATATGGGGCTTGCAAGGCCATATAATTTTGTTATCAATAAGAAAAATGTTTATTGACTGGAACAAAAAAGTCTGAGGAAAGCTTGTGGAATATTGGAATCTTTTTAGCCATGTGTTTTGAGTTGTGAATACCAGTGTAAAGTCGAGGTGAACTAGTCATCGACGTTGATTTTAAACAGCTTGAAATTGTTGACGGAATAAAAGAAACCAAATGAGTTTTGAAGGGATATCCTCACGTTCACGTTTCTTTTCTTGGTGTGTGGTCATTGTTGGTGAATCTGACCGAAATGAAACAATTTTAAATTTTTTTTCTTGCCATTTCATTGTTTTGGTATTCCATAGAAGGCCATTTGGCCTACTCGTACCCTTGTACACGTACATTGCCTGTGTGTATTGCATGCACATAACATCCCAACCTCCTTAATTTGCACCTGTCATTCCGCCATGCACCACCTTCACTGGTGTTTTCACCGGGAATAAATATGCACCTGTTACCGCTCATTATTTTAGTCCCATTTTGATCTGCAACGGTGGAAGTTTGTTTTTACCCCTTTCCATGTGGAATCTGTGTATACATAAATATATTCATGTATGCATGAATTATGGAAGATACTCATTAAATGTAATATTTTGCCTAGATTTTGTGATATTATTTACAACACGTATTTTGTAGTTGTGTGTCCAGACCAGATTCGCTGTTATGACATGCATAATTACAGATACAAAGTAATTTGAAAATCATTTGCAGAAAACCAAATTTCCATTCCAGTTGAAGGTGATGGTTTTAAAGTTTGCTGAAATGTTTTCCAAGGCAGAGCATACTTTTGACTGTGCATAGTTAAAGTTAACGCAAATTAATCAACATACTGAAAGATGGCCATTTGTTGTAAGCTAACTTTCTGTTTCCATTGTAACCAAAGGAGCAGTCCTTGAAGATTTTTTACTGGTCATTAGGGCCGGTGTGTTTATTTTGGTAATTCAAATAATTAATCCTCGAACTGGCACATTTGATTTAATAAATCAAATTGGGTATGAAATTTTTTTTCAAAAGAAAGTGGAGTGAATGCTATAGAAATATTAGGACATTGCAACAACTGTTGAGGAATATATGAAGGTTAATTAATTGCTTAACCAAGACTATAAACTAATGAAGGAATGATTAATCAATCAATCAATCAAAAAGTTGTTAGAAACTTGTGGCTGTGTTACTTTTGTGAGCATTGTTGACTTTATCTGTTTTTTATTCTATACAAACAGCCCCAAGCAAGCCCAAAGTTCCAAAGTTCCAACTACAGATGTGCCGCCATCTACCACTGCGCCGTCTCCATTCGACGAATATGTGACTGCGCTCTACTGGGCTGCAGCGACCATGACGAGCACCGGCTATGGTGACATCAGTGCGCATACGACCATCGGCCGGGCGATTGCCCTTGGGGCCATGTTGATTGGGCTGCTGCTCTACGGTTACTGCCTGTCGTCCATTGCAGCAACTCTGGCCAATGCTGATGCCCCAAGGTTTGTCATAATGCTCTTCACTTTACCTCATACCTGACAACGATCTCACATCTCTCATCACTATGGCTCACCCATTATTCATGAGTGAGCATCGTATTATTACTGGGTAGTTCAGCAATAGACCAGTCTATCATAAGTCCATCATAAGTCCTCACAAGCACACCACAAGTCCTCGCAAGCACATCATAAGTCTATCACTAGTCCTCACAAATCTATCACAAGTTATCACATGTCTTTCACAAATGCATCATCCAGCCTCAAGCCAAACTGCAAGAGAACTATGACGAAAACTCTCTATTGCCATTAACCCACGTGTTACTTGTGTGGAGTTGTGAAAGGACCGGTGACTGACTCGTGATGGATTCGACCACAGCCCTGTTGGTACAAACATCCTTTACCCATTTCCTTGGTATTGGACGACATGTTTATTCGATCTTAATTGTTACCAACCCAGAGTGAACTTCCAGGAGAAGTTGTTTGCTGTGCAGGAGTTTATGAAAGACCACAACTTGAAATTAAACCTCCAGCATCGAGTGGTGAAGTACCTTGGCTTGGTGTTCAGAAGACACAGGTAGGTTTTTGTATGAAAGCACATCACGCCCATTTATATACCACCGATATTTTCTGCATAGGTGTTAAAGTGTACCAAAGTGACTATGTCACCAAATGAGCCTCTGAGCCTCTGTTGCTGGGAAGATTGTGTCCTCTCTTGGTCCGCTTGGGGCTCATACTCAACAGAAATGTTTGACCCAAAGTGGACATTTGAAGCGGTAATCCACATGCATAGGCTGTATTGGGTGGCAGCCCTTGTTTTTGGATTGTATTAACTTGAGATGGGATTTGATGGTGATTGACATTGCAGGGGTGAGGTGATGCCTGGTGGAGTGCGTCTCATGCATGACATGCCCATCCAACTGCAGCAGGAGATTGCCTTCGAAGATGCTCAAGAGACGCTAGGCCAGGTGGGTAGAAAGAACAAGGCTTGCCATAGGTGACCGTGGTAATGCTGTCACTGGTCAGTAGCAGCGGCCCCCCTAATGGTGGTAAGCACTAGTGTGGGTGACCATTGTGTGGAGCTACTCTTCTGTGACAGTTACTCCATACAGGACCCAACACATGCTTTCCACCATTAAAGGGGGCCATGGGAAATGTCCAGTGAAACGTTGGATTCGTCTACATAAGGGACAAATACTTGTCAGTGTGATAGTCATTGTAAGGAATCTGAGTGATTCACATTGATTGACTTTTTCGAAATCTGCCTCATGTGGTGAGTTTCACAGTATGTGAGATTGACAGGGGCATTGTTTGATTGGTCAGGTGCCACTTTTCAAAGACTGCGACGCCGCATTCCTGCGCATGCTAGCCTTGAAGACCCATGCCTATCTCTTCACGCCTGGAGACATGATAGTGTACGAAGGCGACATGGGGCGAGAGATGTACTTCATCCGCCGGGGAACCTGTGAGGTGAGTGTCCAAGTTTCTGTGTACTCCTGCCACACAAGGATCTTGATTTCAGGAGAAATTCTTTTGTTAGGGGCAGACTGTTATGTATAGACAAGTCCGTCCCTGACATGTTAAAAATTGCCGTTGGCATTTTGCATATTTTGCCAAGCTGATACATAACAGAGTTTGCAAAATCACTTGAGTGTACACCTTGCCAGATGAATGAGTCGGTAGAATGAGATTTTAACAAAGGCTCTTTAAGCTTGAGGGTTATGTCAAGTAAAGTTCTCTGTCTTTGTCCAGTGATGAACATTTTTCTGTTCTGTCTCTCCAAGGTTCTGTCCAAGGATATGACCAGGGTGACCAGCACCATTGGGCCTGGCCAGTATTTCGGTGAAGTGGGCCTCATCTTTGGTGACTACCGCACAGCCACTGTACGGGCGGCATCCTACTGTGAGCTGCTGATGCTCAAGCGCTCGGATCTGGATGAGGTCTTGCAGCATTTCCCCCTCATTGCTAAGTAAGTATTGTGGAGAACACTCAGGAAAAGAATCCGCTTTAGGAGTTCTGAAATGTTAACAGTTTTCTCAAATAATGTTGGCTAAATTTCACAAAATAATCCCTCCCCCCCAAAAAGAGCCTAATCTTCACACAACTGAAAGCTTTGTGTGTGCCTTTCATCTGTGAGTAGACTATTTGGACATACATTTCATGTTTGTGCCTGAGGGCTACATGTATGTCACAGTGCTTTCTGAAAGCATAGTTTTAAGCTTCAAGTACACGCCCATATTGTTTTTGCTTAAAGTTTGACATATATACATGTTTGTCTACACGTACATGTGGAGGTAAGTCAGTGCAATTTTGTTCTTTATTTCTCTCTTTGAAGCAGTTTTCATTTCAAAATTGTGTTCTCCTATTTCGAGCAGTTTTCGTTATTTTATCTCACTGTATGTGTAATTGACCTGCTGTGGTAAGAGGTAACCCTCAGCTGCAAAATGATGTGTGAAGAGCCCTTTAAAACAGGCACTGTTGGGTATGGCCACAGGGCTATCACAGTGTACCTTTAATAACCAAAAACCAGTCAAAGCCTTTGGTGCCATAGCTATTGGCAAAAAGTAATGCTGTTGGCACGGCCAATGGCAAATGAAGCCATGGCAAATGGCAAAAACGGATGCCATAGCCAATGGCAAATGAAGCCATAGCCAATGGCAAATGAAACCATAGCCAGTGGCAAATGAAGCCATAGCCAATGGCAAATGAAGCCAATCAAGCCATCACGAATGGCAGAAACCAATGTGGTAGCCATGGCAAATAACCTATAGCCACCGGCCAAAAGCTGTGCCATAGAGAAAGCCATGTTACAGTGCAACCATACTTGTTCACTTGCCTCATCAGAGAGGGTCACATGTATTGTTTGGTCTGCTTGTGTATGTCTCTAGTGACAGTATTTTCAGACGGAGTTGTCAACTTAATTTTCATGGACATGTAAATTTCAAAGGAATTGCACTCTGTAGATGTTTATCTCGAGTCAGATCCAACATTGCTCTCGGGTATAGTACGTGCACATTTGAGAGGAGAACGCGTCAAAAAATGCTTTTTCATAACAATAGTTTTACTTGTAGTTAATGCTGATGCTCTCGAGTATACTGCAGAAAATATACTTGGAGTAAGTTTGCACTGCACAGGTGACAAATTGTCTCTTGGAAAGGCAGTCTCTTGTGGCATTGATAGATCTAGAACACCTAGCACTGCAGGTTCGTGTGCTATGAATTGTGTGATGCTAACTTGTCATTCCTGCTGTTCTAGTGGGTTGGAAGCTGCTGTGTCTCATTGGGAGAAGGATCGCAAGGAGAAACAACACGACGATAAAGGGTGTGTCTGTCAGTGGAAGCACACACGATACATGCACTTACATGTAGTGGCAGGAACTGCACAAGATTTGTTTCAAAACACAAACCTTTGATTGTTTCGCTAGAAGCTTACAACATTTTTCTGGGCTGGGCAGCCCAATACACCCTGTGTAAATTGTGCATGTAATAAACTGAGCTGCTAGGTTTTACATAACAAATCTTGTCCAGCGCCTCTGCCGAATTTCAGTTTGTGTACATGGTAGTATTAAGAGGTGATTCACAGCACGTGCCTCTAAATGTTTGCCTTCTATACAGAGAGGCGGTTGTAACTGCCAACGACTTGTGTAAAAGGAGCACTGTTTGGCCACATGGATGTTGATTTTTCGCACAATGCACTGGAAAAGTTTGCCCTCTCTGTGGCAACATTTGGGTGGTATTCTGTGAATCCCAATGTTCCGAGGAGATTTTCAGTGACATCATTTGAAGAATGCTTTTGTATTGGTATGCTAAGAGGAACTACGGGATGAACGTCACATTTCTTGAACAAGTGCCACTCTATAATTGAGTCGGTCAAATAGTTGATTTATTTGGGACAAATTCCGACACAGGGTTCACACGAGGTTGTCATTTGAATGATGTCATTGAAAAATCAGTTTTGTTTTTCTTGTCATTAACCCCAAAGCCTAGTTTTTCCACCTGCTTTTAGTTTGCCGCTCACTCTTGCTTATTTATATTTTATGTTTGGTGTCAGCTTGTGAAGCCCTTTTTACACAACAAGAAAAACATCATGACCTGTCTTTGAAAGATCTTGCAATTTGAACCTGGTTGAGAGAATACCTACCTGGAGTGACATAGCATTTTCTGGATTGCTCATAACTTTTATGTCGTAGTTCATGCGGGAGTCCAATGAAAGTGACAATTTGGTGAAAAGGCAATTCAACACCTTGTCGAAAGCCTTATTAAGGTGCTTGGGAATGGGATTGGCTGCCCCCTACTAGAATCTGCCCTCAAGGATGGGTGGCTTTTTGTGTGTGTGTAAAAAGGGCTTGAGAAGATGACTTGGCTTGCAACGTGATCTCAGTAGCTACACTCCCACAGCTTCACTGTCCTCACCCATCACGGCATTGTTAGTGAACACATTCATTAACTTTATGCTGTAGATTTTGACCTATGCACCTTTTGCCAAGCTTTGCTGTCAAAGCACTCACACACTGGAAGTGCGTACACCTGTGCTCATTTGCTTTTTGGGCTATTGTTATGGGGAGCTGAGCCAACTCAAATTCAGCATTCAATTTGACATTTGGCTGACAGAATATTTTTGAAAGCCAGGAAATTAGCGCTCACAGTCAGATTACATATTTGAATTACTAATATTATTATAGACATATCCGAGAAGGCGCCATTTCTTGGGACTGTTGCACTCGCACACATCTTAACTTAAGCGCACACATGCATATAGATGTAGGCAAGTCATGGCACCCTATTGGTCGGAGAGGAATGTAATGTGCGGGTACCACTAGCGTGCGAACAGGACCTCCGCGCAGTAATGGCTTCTAATAATTCCTCTTTTGCCGGATTTGTCTTTCGCAATGACAATGCCAGTGATGAAGATGACAATATAAGAAATGCGTACATTTACCGTTGAGCTCTCACGACAGAGCCAATGATGTAAATGGATAATTTTCATTCAAACATCTCTCCACAGCACAGGCGATGGTGACTAGAAACAGACATTTTTTTTGATGATGTGCTTGTGTCTCAAAAAGTTGTGCCGTTTTGTTTCTTCAACCTGTGTTTACCGGTGTCTTTGAAGTGCAGTTGCAGTGAATGTTGTGTGTTTACTGTGCAGCCCTAGGCCATCAACATGTGGTCACAACATTTCTTTTGTCACTGATGAAGTGCTCATTTTATACATGCATAACTTACATGTGCTATCCTTGTGAAGTTTACTGTATTGCCTCTAAAATGTACATTTTCATTTTCAAGGTTGACAGGCAAATGTTTTTTTACAGCTGCATGCGCACAATTGTACAAGATTGCCCACTGAACCAACATATAAACCTCCATAGCACCTTTTTTTTTTTTAAAAACATAACAGAAACCTGTCATTTTTGTTAACATATCTGTTATGAAATTACCCTGTAGTTTTTGATCTTAGCGAAAGTTAACAGAATTTTATTTGCAGCCTGTAGTTTGTTCCTGACATGAATTTGAAGCACGGTGAATTCACAATGGTTGCGATGAATGTCACAAAAATATTTAGGATGTTGTGAAACTCACTTTTGCTTTCATGTGAAGTATGAACTGACCCTAACCCTACCCATTCCACTCCAAGCTGATGTAAACTCGGTTTACCCAACATATCTGAATCCTTTGGGGTCCACCAGGAATTATTGGAGGATGTTGTATGGTTGAGGAAGGTAGAGCCCAGCCTCTGTTCGTTGTACCAGACAAGGTGCCTGACTTTAATGCCCTGTGAACATTAATGTGGCTCGTTACATAGGATTCAAGAAGGTTCCTTACACGAGTGCTTTGGTGTCGGGGTTAAGATAGTTCGAGTTGTGGTGGACTTGGTCAAGGTAAACCGCTGAACCCAGCATAGCCTAGCCCAACCCATCTGAGCTCAGTGAAAACCAGCCCTTACCGGACATAACCCTGATGACTCCACATGCATGTATTTGTACATCACCCTTGGCTAAATGCACTTCATGCATGAACCATGGTGAGAAATGCCCCTAGTACAGGTGTTCCATAATTTTGGAATTGTCGTCACAAAACAAGCATGATAGCAGGGATAACGACGAGCTCATCAGATTTGCGTGGACATACCTTTGTCTCATCCAGTGTTCATTTCTTCCAATGCGGACAGGCAATTCAAGGAGGCAGCAGGAGATGAGGAACATCTGAAGGAGTTACGTAATGCCTCGAGACGCCAGCATGAGTTGGACGTCATCAGAGGTGAGATCGCTTTTGGTGTGGCAGGACCATTGTCAAGTCCATTGCAGGTCCTCGCACCAATCCTGTCGCGAGGCTAGTCACAACTGCAGTCATTGGCAAAAGGATGCTCTTGTGACGTGGCTCAAGACTTGCGTTTCTTGCAGCTGACTCGCAGGGATCGGACATGTGATGGATTTGATTGTATTTCAGCTCAGTGAAATGCAAGTCACAGTCACTTTTGTTGTTGGAAGATACTAAATTTGTTGTTAATATTTTATCATCAGACACAGATGATCTTCAGGCAGATAACTCAGTGGAGGCAACATCCCATCAACCAACAGATGCCTCTGTCAAGGTCTTTGACAAGTGAGTAGCAAGATGCAAGATGAATATTCAACATCGATGTGAACTTTTTCATTGATCCAACCTGGGGCAAAGCAGTTTCTGCAGTGCCACTGTGAACTGCCTGGATTCGTTCACTCAGTGCGCTAACTGTACTCATAGTCGGCAGCATTTGTCCAAGGAGACACTAAGGCGCATAATTGTTGTTTTTCTTACCCAAAGTTTGTGGCTTTCTTGTTTTTGTTTGACAGGGATTCTGAGGATTACACTGAGCCTCTCAGTCAGCTCAGCCTGGTGGGCAGACTCTTCTCCAAGCTACTTATGAGGTACAAGAAAAGTTCCAAGAGACTTTCATTCAGACATGCAACTCAGTTGTCTTCGTCGTATATCCGCTCCAAGCGGAATAAAAGAGGGCGTGTTTATTTTGGGTACTCACTGCATAGGTGTGCCATGAGGCGCGTAAGTATATGCACGTGTGACGCGGAGCATGCTGAGTACGCGTAACTAATTTATTCCTGCATGTATGGTCTTTGCGTACGCGCAGAACATGTGCAAGAACCTGCTTGTAACCACCTGTCTTTCTTCTGCTGATTGGGGGTGCACTTCAGCTCACGGCGGATAGGCCAGTTGACTGTTTGTTGGTTTAGCATAGCTCTCCAGGTTGTTCAGGCCAGAAGCCAAGCTTGATGTAACAACATGCAGAAGTCAGTGTAGTTCCATTTTGAAGAATGTATCTTCATTGAGACTGTTCTTGTGAAATTTAACTGTCTTCAATTGAAAGCTTTTTTGTGCCCTCTCAATTGTTTAGTACCTCAGACTGATCGGCGTTGAGTTTTTTGTTTTTTGTCGGGTTGAGTGTGAGTCACATTTTCATTGTCCCAATTTCTGTCTTAACACAGCTGTGCGTTGCTACCGAGTGGCACGTGGTTTAAGCGCTGGGAGGTAGTCCGCGTTGCCGTGGCGATCCTCATGGCATTCACTGTTACACTCCAGGCCTCTTTCTCCCACATGGATGTTGCGTTGTGGGTCATCAATTACTCACTTGATCTGATCTGCTACATTGACATGTGAGTCTGATTGACTTCTGAAAGATATACACCGTGACGGCTTTACTCGAGCACATCATTAAGTTCAGACCATCACAACAGACATATAGCTAGATAGACTATATGGACAGATAGCCTGAGTTTGGTGTTTGACCGTAATGGTTTTGAAAATTTGTAATGTGATTACTTTGTCTTATTATTTTGGTTTGACTGTAAGTAAATTTCGACTTTTTTACCATCTTGAAGAGAAGAAATACTTATTACATGGAGTCTCCTGTCGATGCGACAGATGAGTAGGCAGACAGGTCATTTGCCAATGTGGGACTTCATGTGAGAATGAAGACCGGTTTGTGACACATATGACCGGCCACAGATGCTGCAAGGGAACGAATCCAGATAAGAGGAACTGTGTTACTATGACTACAACATTATATGCCATTGACTTTATTTTTGTCTGCAGGTATCTGAAATTTCACACAGCTTTTTACAACGAGAACAATGTCCTGGTAACTCATCCAATCTCAACTGCAAAGCATTACTTCAAGTAAGATTATTCTTCCATATCTATCTTTTTGTAACATGTAGAGCGTCTGCAGCCTTCTTGAGACATTTTGGACTTTAGGGGCTCATTGAAAGAATGAAAGGTAATGGCGTGTTATCACGACTTTATTTGCGTAGCCAATGAAGATTGTGATGGTTTTTAATCTCTTCGCCACAGGACCAACTTCTTGATTGACTTGGTGGCCTGCTTCCCAGCTGAGCTCATTGGGTATGCCGTGCTGGGGACGTTCACTTGTAAGTTCCAAATTGGCCCTTGAGCATTTCTTTTGTCGATTCATACAGCTTCAACTGTTTCACTAAAAGTGTGACGCAGGAGCAAATGCCAACTCGGTAATGGTTTACAGTCAAATATGTTGTATTTCTTCGCAATGTTTCACAGTTCAACTGGCCTTCTGTCGGCAGTCACACATTTTTATCAGACTTGATTCTGTGTGTCAGTTTACCTTTTAATCTTGCCTTTCAGCCGATGCCATCCACGTGTATGCTGTGCTCCGTCTAAATCGATTCCTGCAGATGTACAGAGTTGTAAGTATCAAATTTAGTGCATCAATGAGCGTGAGACTGAACAAGTGAGAGAGTGTTACTGTGACGGCAAAGTTTAAACGCTGATAGGGTTCAGAAATTAGGGGTACATTTTTTTTCGTGTCCTTGTCACATCTGATATGATTTTGTAAGTTCAGAACACATTTTCTAATTTCCAATAGTGATGAATTAGTGCAAATTATCTGCCAAACAAATAGTAATAGTTTGAAATCAATTCCGGCAATATTTCCATGTCAAAAAACGAGGGTCAGATGGAACAGACACAAATGTCACACTTTTGGAGCCCTAATTTCTGGAATTACCCAGGGAGAAATTGCTGAAGTTTAGTCTTTGACTGCTATTATCACGGCTGTTTCTGATATTAACCTATAATTGCAGCCGCTGGCCTTCAATTATCTGGAGTCTGGTGTGGAAAACGAAACGGGGACCATCAGGTGAGTACAGCAGACGTCTCTCCAAAAGTGTATAGTCCCACAAGGTTACTTGGTATAACACTGCTGCCTTAATCTGACAAGTCATTTTCCTCGGCAAATCAGTAATGCATTTGTGCGTTTTTGTCCACTTTGCCTTAGGATGTTGAAGTTCTTCTTCTACCTGGGTCTGTTCTTCCACATCATGGCCTGCCTGTGGTATATGAATGCCTGCTCCCCTATCTTCAGGGCGAATCCCGTGCACGAGGACCTGAAGGGCTTGATTCCCACCAACGATCACTACTGCAAAAACATATCCTGGACGAGTGCCGTAGACCTAGGCTTCTGTAAGTGGCAGATGCAGCCAGTCAGGCTTTCAAAAATCCATGAAGGTTGTGTGTGAGGAATCTTTGAGAGTTAGGGCTTATTATTTAATTATCTTTATTCAATATTCAACCAAAATATGCACAAAACAATAAAGATGCGACCTGGAACCCCGGTCCCGAGTGGACAATAAATAAATTAAAGTACTCATGGCAGGGCGAAGAGAAATGAAGCAGGTTTTAAAAATTAGAGGAGTGCAAACAGTTAACACATTTAGAAAAAAATACAGTCATTTAATAACAGCAGCTGAATTCATAAACATTTTCTGGAATGGGTGGTGCCCAAATTAAACTGAAGGGAAAAGCAGAATATATTCGTATAAACATGTAGACACATTCACCTGTTTTTTAGATTGGTTCATTCTGATTTTAAAACCACATGGGATCTTAACAGAGCTCTTCTAACAATTTGATTGCAAAAATCTTGATTCTCTTTCTGTTGTCAGGAGTAATCAGTCCTTGAGAGCCAATTTCTTTGCAGATTAATTTAAAATTTGGATCCTAGGTTGGACAAATTCTTACTTTTGAAAACATCAGCGTCTTTTTGGCGCACTTTCTTAGCTATTGTTGCTTTTGCCTGTCAACTGTTGTTTTCCGTGCAGACAACAAGAGTTTGAGCTATCAGTATGTCGTCAGCCTGTACTGGGCCTCAGCTACTGGTGCATCTGTTGGATATGGTGATATCCACGCCAAGAATGTATCTGAGGTAAATGAGACAGTTGACGTTAGTTCCCCGAGACTGGACAGACTAGTTCCTGAGGCGTGCAGAGGGAACTAGTCATTTTTCTGGCCGAGTTCCTATTGCTTCAGGCATGCATGTTTTCTGAAACTGTGTTGCTTAAAGAAGAATTTGACATGAATGACCAAACTGACACATGCTCGGTAATGGCCTGTAATTCTGGTTGCCGACCAATGAGATTATGGTACATCATGCCGGACAGGATATGACAAGGTGTTTCAACAAAGTGATGTTGTCTTGATTTTAATTTCAGATGGTACTTGCTCTGCTGTCCATGATCTGTGGTATTGTCTTCTTTGGCTACGTCATTGCTAGCGTGGCTGCTAGCTTGGCCAACGCCGACTCGCAGCGTGCACGCTACCAAGAGAAACTCACTGCAATACAGAACTATCTGAAGGTATGACAACATGCGTGCAGGTGTTGAATTAACAGCTTCTTTGATCATATATTGGCGCTGTGCTAGGACACGAGATGGCGCTGTTTTACTTTCCACTCCCATGCATGGTGCATGTTTGCATATTCTGATGGAAGCCAGGACAGTCCAATTGTAAACCACATGCACCTCAACAAAAGTCTCCGTTGTCTGACCATGGTTTCTCCCTCTGGGCTACAGTGAAGTGATAGAGTGCTATTAAAGTTCTCTTTTCAGCGTGTGAATTGCCTACTATGAGACTTTATTTTTGCACAGTGAGTGCTCTAATATTCAAATGGGTCTCCGTTAGTGAAATAGCTCTTAGTAACCAATAATAGTTGTTTTTGCTGTCGTAGAGTGCTTTGAGTGTTTTGACGGCCTTTTCTCTCGTGACTGATTTCCGTCAGTTCTCTGAATCCGTATTTATTTGACAGGAGCAGCAGATAAATCGCTCATTGGAGCAGCGCGTCGTGAACTACTATAACTACATATGGCTCAGGACCAAAGGAGTAGATCCCAACTCGCTGTTTGATGGGCTTCCTCTCTCCTTGAAAGCCGAGGTGGCTTTGGATCTCTACCAAGACATGATCAACAAGGTACGTCCTGGCAGTCGACAGCGTCAGATGTCACCGAGTTGTAGCATTTGACTTGGGCCATATGTCGATTAACTTGTACACCAAGAAATGTCAACCTTTCAGGAAGGTTCGCCGTGCTCTGCTAGTGCCTTACTTGTGTGGCAAACGATGATGTGGCTTTGCAGTTGCTTTTGGCCTCGTCAGTCGTGACTCATAAATCCCAAATGGCCAATTTTGGTAACCTCAGGATTAATGTAAAGCTCGGTTTGTTCCCCAACCTTGCAAGTTGAATTTATGAATTCTGAGCTTAACTATTTCATACAGTTACAGATTTGTCTGGAAAAACCAACTTCGGAACATTAGACAAAATGCTTCATGGATTTACAGTCTATCATTACTTGATGAGTTCATCAACTTTCCAGATTAAAGGAGGCGCCTTTCCATATGTACCTTTTTTTGGGTGCAGTGCATACACGATGTGTGTAGACACAAAAATCGACTCCATTAACATAACACACGTGTGCGTTGCGTTGCGTTCGACCGTCAAAGTCGCCCAGGAGTGATTTTGACAGATACGCAATGCTTGGTGCAAGTATTGACGGGCATATGGAAAGGCGCCTTTATGCTATATGCCTGTGCAGGTACCGCTGTTCCAGAACACTGAGGTGGGTTTCCAGAAAATGCTGGCTATGTGCATGACTCCAGTCTACGTGCTGAGCAAGGAATACGTCGTCAGAAAGTTTGACTTTGGAAAAGAAGTAAGCATATTTTTCTGTTATTTGCCTTCATAAGCCTTTCGCCACCAGCTTATTAAGACATGCAGATTGGGAAAAATATTGAAATATTGGTAAAGACAGCATTTTCGTAATGTTGTCGTCATTGTTTTTTCGTTTCTTTTTACTTGTTTGTGGGGTCCTTCAGTGGGTGATAAGTCTAACATTGACTGAATGATGTTACCACATTCCACCTGTATTTCTTGACTGATATTCCTTCTGCCCACCCTTTTGGGCAGATGTTCTTCATTCACCGTGGCACTGTGGAGGTAGTGTCGGAGGACGGAAACACCGTCTTTGACACCATGAATGCCGGCAGGTTCTTTGGAGAGATCAGTCTGGTGTTCAGCTGCTCTAGAACAGCCTCTATCAGGTACAGTGGCGCTACTGAACGTTGACCTCAAGTAGTGATAGATGTGCGGCTCATATCTCAAAGTCACACGTAACCGAGTATTTTCATTGAATTCATATTGGCTAAAGTGTGCATTTGAATCATACTTCTAACTTTTATTGATGATAGAGATTACAGTCATGATATGAATTGATTTCACTTTGTTCTGTTACTGAGCCAAACAGTCGTGGAAACCTTTTCTAAGACAGAGATTTCCCTTTGTCTTGCTTTTGAATTTCATGCGCGTCAGTGCAACTTGAAAACACAAGAAAGCCCCCTTGCAGCAAGGATTTTCCCCCGTGTTCCATGATGCATGCCAGGTCACAGGACTGTGTTTGTGTCCATGGGCAAGGCACTTTACCATAATTCATTTTTGCTTTGAAGTAGGGGAGAACGTATAGTGACAAGATGTGATTTCTGTGAATGGCCCCCTAAGATGTGTGGTTCCGTCAATGAAAATTTTTTTGTAGTGTCGCAAAGGTGTGGAGATATCAACAAATACCATGAGTGCAACGACTTTGATACTAATATTGAGGTTGGCTTAAATTGTCTTGTAATGCTAAACTTGGTGATTTGCAGGGCCCAGACCAACTGTGATATGTTTGTGCTCACCAAAGAGAACCTGGATGAGGTACTAACACACTATCCGTCGATCAAGGAACAGATTAACAGGGTAGCCGAGGAGCGCATCAATGCCGTACGCAAACGCAGCAATGCCAAAGTAGGAGGGGTGAGTCCTCGGCCCTTCTTACGTTTCTTGGAAGCCGTGGTAACCATCAAGTTTTTTAAAGAGCCGTGCTGGTGTAATGTGTTCCCTGGCATCTGAATCTGTAGCGTAGATCTAGGTCTAGCTCTGTGCTTCATTGGAAATGCGCAGACACGCGCTGGCAATATATGTAGCAGGATGTGTGTGCAAGTGCTTGCACTTGTTTGCATATGCATGTAAACAGCTCAGGTATGCTTATTTAGTTCCTTGAAATCATCCCTTGGGGAAAGAAATACTTCCACTAGTTATTATGGATGCATGTACAAACAAAAACGAGGGGTTTTTACATTTGTATTTTCTTAAAGGATAGCAACAAATCAAGTAATAATAACAACAATCCGAGCAATAATCCCAGCGAGAGCACCAGTGCTTCCAGCAATAATAACGAGACGAACACCCAAGCAAATACCGACAGTAAGGCCACGGCAGAGAATGCCGCCAAGAACGCCACCAACAGCCAGCCGGCGGACGGCCAAGATGGCAAGAACGAAAACCAGAACAACGACAAGGGCGCGGAGAAGACGACTGAGACTGGCGACGACAAGGACAAGAAGAAGAAATCTCAGAACGGAAGGGCGCCGGGGGCTGGTTGGTTGGATTTTAGTCATTTCAGGAATTCCTTTTTTATTTCAGAGTCCATATTGGTCCAAAGATCTCATTTCATCTCAGGAATTTCTTTTCATATTACAGATTTGTTTTATATTAGGTTTCCATTTCATTTCAGGGATGCAATTTCATTTCATGTATTGTATCTCTCTAGAGGGATTCCATTCCATTTAGGGATGCCATTTCATTTCATGGACCCCTTTCAATTTAGGTATTTCACTTCATCTCGTCCTGTCTCATATCTTGTCTCTTGTCTCGTTTCATGTTAATCTCATTTTAAGGATCTCTGAATTGAGGCATTCCGTTTCATTTCAGTACATCCTGACTAATGCTTGAAAAAGGTTTTTTGTCTCGTGAGTTGGATTTTTCCTGTGAGGTGGATCACAGCATTAATTCTCGTATTTCAGCAAATGTGTATCACAGGTTATAAGTTATCTGATCGGGAAACTTTACAGCAGTTTACAGATGGAAACTCATTGCTGATAAGGATGACGTTGCCATTATCTTGTCTCAGCATCTTCCTCTGAGCCCGAAGATTCCTCCCGCTTGGACCTGGGTAGCGACTCCGGTGAGGTACAGACGCGTCAACCTCCCTGCTGTTTGCGCAACAAGAACTACCTGGAGGAGCTGCTGAAGGCCAACCGCTTTGTCCTGAGCCCTGACAGCAAGGTCGTGCGCTATCTCAATCGCCTTACGTGCTTCCTTGCCTACATAATGTCCTTCACCATCCTGTTCCAGGTGATTAAAAGCAACAAAAAATAATTGAGAACTGAAATTTTGATCTTGTCGGTAGTCAGGCCACCAGGCATCTGATCAGCACGAGAAAGTGGCGCTTGAATCAATTTGACTTCTCTTTGATGCAGTTGTGTCTACTTTATTGTGTTAAATTTGAGAGGGTGTTCATTATTGTGTTCTTCCATCGCAGTCCAAGAACCTCATCCTGGTGTTGGGAGTTTTTCATTGTGGTGCTTAAATTCTAGATGGGCTTATTCGGAGCACCAAGATATGATTTGGAATATGTGATGACGCATATTGTAAGAAATAAAAGATGTTCAATTGAGAACATTTCAGTCTTGTATAAACGTTTTTGTTAACATTTTTTGTCCTGCGTTGGAAGTTTTGAGATCTTTTTTCCCACTGCATTTGTATCATTCGTTGTTAACATATATTATTACCTGTTTAATTAGCGGCTCTCAGAAATACGGTTTATGATACTTGTGATTTGGATTTTATAACTGGTGTTGTTTTTATTGTGCTATACAGTAAAAGTGTCATCTCGCCTGAAATTGGGTTTTGTTGCATTGCGTTTGTCTAGGCTGCCTTCCAAGAACAGAGCACCCTTATTCTCGTCTTTAGTTACACCTGCGAAGCGGTGTTCATTTTTGAGGTAAGTCAGATCTCGGCAAAATGCACATCACAAAGCCTGGAGTTGCGTCAATGGAGTACTTATATAAAGAAACCTATCGGGTGCATTCGTGCTTTTGTTCAAACCTTCTCAGTACATTTTGAGGATGTCTGTTTGCATGTCTTTTGTTACTGATGCAATGTAAAGGCCGGTTCATGCTGCGTATTCACTGTGTATGCAGCGCGAAGGTCTATTTTGAGGTGTCTGCAGTGCGTGAATGAAAGTGCAGTGCCTAATGAAAATGCGCGCTTGCACGCAGTTTGTGAAAATAATGGATAGTGCGTATGCACCAAATGTATGCGTATTCGGACAAACTAAAAAATTTTAACTTTTGTCGGATATGCAAGCGAGTATGAACCAGCCCTAAAAGCCAGTGCTTTTAAAACTAGATCACCCAATCTGTGAATTGCAGCTTTAAGAAATGTACACATTGCTGCCTGCGACACACGGTTTCTTCTATTCTAACCTGTGACCCAACTTTGTAAAATAGGTTGCACGTCATCAGAAATAGTTTTAAGTGACAGACCTCCAAATAAATTGTGGTCAGTGGAGCTATTGCCATTGTTATGTCCATGATTTCTGTATCAAAATGGAGAGCTGAAGACATTCTTACCGTTGTGAGATGCCCTTAAAATGCATTTTGTGGACCTGGTTGCATATGTTTGCATTGCCTAGATATATATCAAGTTTCATGTCAGCTGTGCTGATGAGTACGGGGAACTGGAGACCGACTTCAACAAGGTGTACATGATCTACTTCAAGAAGCTGAGCGGCTTCCTGTTAGATCTGGCTGCAGCACTGCCGCTGGACCTCTTCGCCTTGTGCTTCACCAACAGTGATGAGCAGTCGACGCGCTTTGCTGCTCTCACCCTCCTCCGGATTGTCCACCTGCTGCGGTTGGTCAGGGTGGTGCAGTTTTTCGACGCTTGGGAGAAGGAGCTCAATATCAAGTAAGTTGCGAGCGAGCTGGAATTTCAATGTGACACGTTGCAGGTCAGGCGAGTCAAACAACTATGGAACGTCAGTGGTATTGGCATTGAAAGATGGGTCTTTTGAGTGGTAAGAAATGGTTTAGATACAAAGAAGTCTGTTTGCAGTGTAAACATTTTGTCCTTGTTTCTACAAATTTAACCTCCCCATTAATTCTTGATTGCATGCTCGTACTAGAAAACCGCGTTGATTATTGATTACAAAGATTCACTGGTACTTCCCCAAAATTGTATGTCCAACGTAGTATTTGTAGAAGTTTTTCCGCGGTGTTTTACTGGATAGCTTGGATGGAATAATGAACTAGGTTATATACAACAACATCCAGTGAATCAAGTGTCGTATTCGATTTCCTTTTGTCAACTTCCCCGTAAAAATTTGGTTTGATTCAGAAATGGCCTGTAGAATCACAGATCAAGAAGCAGATTGCAAGTGCGCTGCAGTGTGAGTACTGATACCGCGGTTGTTCCTTTCTTTCCCTTTCCAGTATGCTGCTGGTGCGTCTGACCAAGTTCTTCGGGCAGTTGTTGATTGTCATCCATTTCTTTGCCTGCCTTTGGTACTTCTTCGCCTGCCCGTTGGGGACCTGCCACGAAGGGACGTGGGCAGATGCAGAAAGTGAGTATTGTAATGGCGAGTTGTGCATGAAAGGCTGCGCGTGTCTGAGGAACGCACTGGAGCGCAGGTGCATTGCTTCAAGGGACTGTTTCTTTTACAACTTGGAGCATTGTGTATACATGTATATGACGTGTTGTCTTTATTTCAGTGTACACGGAGGAGAGTGCTCATTGGTTGACTCGGTACGGGGATAGCTTCTATTGGTGCGTCGCCACCCTAACGTCTACTGGCTATGGAGACTTCCATGCTCTCAGCCCGATGGAAATGAGTGAGTACATCGTGATCGTCGATGTGGCAAAGACGTACGATTACAAATGTTTTCAAAGGAATATAAAATTCAACCCTGAAGCCCCGTGGATGATTCCTGCCTCTGCTATGGTCGTTTTTTTCCCTAGTCTTTGCAAGTCTCGTCATGGTGATTGGACAGCTGCTGTTTGGCTCCATTTTGGGTAACATTGCATCCACCCTTGCCAATGAAGAGTCCGGAAGAGTTGCCTACGAGCAGAGATTGTCAGCGGTGAAGGTAAGGTGGCAGGCACTCTAGTGCGCACTGTATGAGGGCGCTGCTAGTGGACGTGCTATTGGTGCTGTGCAAGCACTGTTGAGGGTGCCATGAATGAGCATTCTATTGGTGCCATTCAAGCACTATTGAGGGCGCCATAAATGGGCATTCTATTGGTACCGTGCAAGCTCAGTTGAGGGTACCATAACTGGGCATTCTATTAGTGCTGTGCGAGCACTATTGAGGGCACTGTAAATGGGCATTTTATTGGTGCTATTGTCTTGCTGTGTCTTGTAGTCCAAGTTAAGCATTGCTCAGTATTGTGTAGGACATTGCCAACTCTGGTTTATGGAACCTTTTAATGCAGCGTGCTTCAGATGTCATTGGTCCCACGACGAAGTGGCATCGTGCTTAGACATTGTGCACACTGTGTGGCACTTTGTGATCGATGTTATGCTTGGTAATGCCAACACTTTCCTTTTCCCAGGTGCAAATGAAAGACATGCGGCTGAACAGCAAGCTGAGAAATCGCGTTGTCAGCTACTTTGACTATCTGTGGATGCGCAACAAGTAGGTGTATGTTTCATGTGGCAATGGTCTGTATACAGACTATCTCATATGGGACAGTCTGTGGCCTCACTGCTTGCCTAGATATATTGGACCTCAAAAGAAGATGCCAATACCAAGTCACTGACTGATTCATGCAGTGCATTAGATAATGAATTGACCTGGGTAATCATGATAATTGTTATTGACTGGCTTATCGCTGCACCTTGTGGGCCTGTGGTACATTGAGTGGGAATTTGATGACAGTGGCCGAATTCTACTTTTCGATCGATTTAAATTTCACTTTCTCACTCCTTACATTGTGCTACAAGCACCTAAAAATTGTGACAAAACCATCACAAGCTGCTTCCGAGTATGCTTCATGTTCTTGCAAAATTGGAAAGTCCTGTATTCTTCCAGAGTGATGTCAGGCCAAGGAATTTTGTGGACAATTCCCCCAGTCAGTCTCCGAGATGGATTTGAGGGACAAGAATCAAGTTCAGGATTCTGTAGAGGATTTCTATAAACTCCGGCACAAATGGCATCATTGTTCTTCTATTAGGGTGCCCATAGATTTAGTCTATTCTCTAAGTGGCCCGTGAAAATGAGCTTGCCTTCTAGTCCTCTGAAGTTCTCTGTCATACTCTGTATCTTTTCCAGGGGAGTTGATCAGCACACTTTGTTCAAGGACGCGCCGTTCTGCTTACAGACTGAGATAGGACTCGCTGTGTATGAAAAGAGCCTGAAGAAGGTTATTCCCAAATCTGATTAGAATCCGTGTTACCTGTAGTTTTCCTGATGCATTTCTCTAGCTGACAAAGTTTCCAAGAGCTAATGCTGAGAAATCATAAGGTTGTGTACTATGCCACGGTCAGATAGACTAAAGTCAGATTTTGGTATGACTTGATAATTTCATTTACCACTTACTGTGCCTTTTTTACGGATTGTTCAAGACTGTTATTAATTTGTTAAACAGAAGTTGTGTTCCTCATCATATCAGTAAGCAAAACTGAATACACCAAACCTCAGCTTGTTTGTTTGTGAATTCATTGTTTGTGTTCTTTTAAGGTGCCGCTGTTTGAGGATTCAGAGCCCAGTTTCTTCCGATCCCTGTCTCTCATGCTGCGACCGGTGCTCTTCATGCCCAATGATTACATCGTGCGCCAAGGAGACGTGGGCGACGAGATGTACTTCATCCACAGGGGGACGGTAAATGTTGACGTTGCATGCTCCTTGTGGTGCTGAGATTCTAGTTTTTGTTTAACTTTTTCAGAGCAAGAATAAAGGAATTTGTAGTTCTGCCACTTGTTCACATAAAGCAGCATGACGCAAGCAAGCCAGTCTGTTCCAAGCCATTCGGCTCCTCAGGCTGGTGCTCATCTCCGGTTTCCTTGGCAAGGAACGACTGAGAATATGTCTCTTCCCCACTAGATGGGATTGCCAGTCCATCACAGGTTGAATACCAAGCTAAAGCCGGTCCCCTTTTCTACTCCTGGGTAGAGATGAGGCAAGCAAGGGTGAAGCGGCTTGCCCAAGGCCACAGGTTGTGACCAACAGCTGTATTTGGACCCCGATACTCTGGTCAGGAGTCACAAACCTTAACCACTTGGCCACCTTCACCCCCAGCATTGCATCAAGGGGAGATCTGTTGCCTTGCAAAACTTATTTAAGGAATTAAAAAAATGTTTCCATACAAAAATACATGACCCAGTAGTACTTTATTGGTGTGAACGAATACAGTTCTATAGAGTAGCTACCCTTTAACCAGGTAACCCATCCCTTTAATACGTCTTACTTTACTTTCACTTGTTTTATCCAGAGCATGTTGTTTGAAATCCGAATCTCACTTCAATATTTGATGTAAATTCACCCAAGGATTCAAAACTGTTTGCGCTCTGAACAATTTCAGAGATTTTTTTTCCTGAATTATTACGTTAGCATGGAGTTTGCAACACTAGAAGTTTACTGTTCTGTGTCGATTACCCACAATGCAGGTGGAAATGATGGACGAGAACCACCAATCGCAAGTGGACCGAGTCCTCGGACCCGGTGAGTTCTTCGACGACATCAACCTCTTGTATGATGTGCCCAGGCGGACCTCGGTCCGGGCCCGCAGCCACGTGGACCTACACGCCTTATCTGTGGGCGACCTGAAGGCCGTGCTGGAGCAGTTCCCCGAGGTGGAGTTCAACATTCGGCACATCGGACACGCCTTGTACGGCCAGTATGCAGCCAGCATCAATGCACAGGATCACTTTCCCCCTAAGCAGACCGTCGTTTAACACTCGCCATCCCCCGATCCCTACAACATGGGTTGGCGAACTGAAATTTAACTTCAACTTGATCTCGCTCGATAATAACTTGTATCATTGACGTAACTCATTTCACGGAGGATTAGATGTGAATTGAAGCAGATCTTGCTGGATTTGCTTTTTGACCGTGCTTGAAAAACAAAACCCTTGAGAGGTGAGAAGGTTTGCCGGAAGGACCCAACATTTGAAAATTGAGCATCCTAATTTGCCTCGATTCAGATTAAATAAAAGGTTGCCTGTTAGTCTCGTGAGGGGATAACATGACGGTTTGTCGTCAACCTGCCCACAGGTTATCCGCTGGCTGGCGGGGCTTTCCAGTAGGTAAGGAGAGGTTTGCACGAATTACACAGCTCTTTGGTGTTCTGAGAACTGAAAGAAATAAAAATTCCACATAGATTGGCATAAGTGTTCCCTTTTCCCCCTACTCAACATTTATACTCCGTCTACCACATCATAAGTCCTTCATCTACACAAGTACCTTCTATGGAGGTTTTTGTGGACTATATAGAGGATATTCAGTCACATGCTGTTTGACGGTCCGCGTTCAATTTATTCAGATGTGAACAGAAACGCGCATGGCTTCCAAGTCTCTTAACATCCAGGCAAATACACAATAGAAATACACTGTACACAGATCCGAAAATGCACGCGCCTCCACGGACCTGGTACGCTTCCTATCCTGAAATGCCATTGCCCGTCGTGTTACGTCACGTGAAAAATCTCTTTACCCAATAAAGAGTCCTAGTGCTTCACTTGCAATGAGACTCCATGCTTTTAACTTTTTTCCTCATATTCGAACTATTCCTGAGGTTATTTCTACTGTAAAAATCTCGTGTACTATGGTATTTGAACTTAGTATAATGGATTCTCCCTATGAAGTACCCTTGCATGGTGCATTTTGACTGCATTGCTAGAGCAAACTGCTCTCGAAATAGTGTTCACGTTCTATGCACTCCTCATGCAGACTTTACATATCGACACTTTGACTCGTTTAGATTTGTTGTAAGTGGTTGTTCTTCATCAGCCACAGTAATGGAGACTGCATAGGTTGCAAAATAGCTCGTGCCAAGCTTTGGGTGAGACGATACAGATATCTCACGAGATAAAGATTACGAGGAACGGAATAGAGCTGATTTAATTTTGTCAGTAGAATTGCTAAGGCGTAGACGCAAAGTCTGGTAAAATGTTTTGTGTGAAACGGAAAAGTACAGTTGGCGAGAGAATGTTGCAGCACGCTTACAGCACACGCATCAGTACGGGTGTTTCAAAATGGTGCGCCTCCAAGAGTTTGCAACGCGTTGGCCAATCACAGAGTGTGAAATCTGTTTGCCCAGTGCGCGTTTGGAAAGGGTCAACAGATTTCGCGCGTCGTGATTGGCCAACGCGTTGCAAACTCTTGGAGGCGCACTATTGTGAAACGCCCGTATTCTCTAGTGTTACTCCACATCATACTCTTTCGTGTCTATTGTACAGTTCTCTCCATCTGAATCGTCCATAACCCAGAAACACGTGCACTTGAAACTGTTAGGGTGTTCTGTGTAGAAAACTAAAACGAGAAGGTGAACTTGACCTGTGTGGCGAAGGTGTTTACCAATTGTCATCCGTGAGTCATTAAGTTGAATTCAATGATTTTGGCGTTGGTTTTAGTGATAGTTACTGAGGCAGGTGAGTTGTTATGATTTTCCCACATGTACTATTAACATGTCTTCAGTTTATATTTTGAGAAATTTTAGTTGTACACTATTGTAAATATTAATAATATTGAAACTATATCTCAACATTTACCTCTTCCTTATAAATATCACCTTTTTAGTTTGTATAGATTCCTTTGAAATTCAGTTTATTAATTTATTTCCTACAGGTTTATTTTTACTAGTTTTCCTGTTTGTGTAAAATTTTCTCACGTTGTCAATGTCTCAGTGAACTATCTCTACATATTATCTCAACTTTCCATAACTTGAAACAATTGATGTACGTGAATTAAAAACGAATTTTGATTTAAGTATTGAACGCGACCGTGATGGTATACAATGATCAGACGTATGTGCAAGTTGACAAATTGGATTTTCTTGAAAGCTCTGTTGATATTGTTCGTTTATGATCACAGCCTATGCAGTTGACGATAAGTAGTAGGGTTCCAAATTTTTGTGTAAATATGGTTGTTGTATAGAATTTATCTCTAAAGATTGGCTTTTTTCCTCGAATGATAGCAAATCTGTGAAACCCACAGCTTTACCCATAGCACAGATATTTGGTAGACAATATAATAGATGGCACGGTTTCTGAAAGTAACACTTTTGCATTTTCAAGACGAAACAGAGAAAACCCCGTATCCTTGACTTTGCCGTGGTGTCTTGCGAAATTATGGTAGTTTTGTTTTGTTCGCTGGGAATTATTGAAGCTTTGAAAAGTTTGCAGCGATCTGCAGGATGTGTTTTAATTTTTGAAAACACTATTTGAGTCGCAGAATGGAATGATTTGTATCATTTTTGATCTCTTTTTGTGTATGTGTGCCAATTGAAAAAGAATTCATTTTAAACGATTTCAGTGTTCATTGTAACTCATTGCTCTTTGATTTGTTTAACAAACCACTGATTTGTGGTTTCTACCTTAATTGATCTCGATAGTTTTCACTTCTGGTCCGGCGCGGTTGGTTTGCAGCGTGAACCGAAACCTGAACGCGACTGAGTTACATCGCAGCAAACATTCGCCCTGCAAATTGACTCCAATTGTGCACAATTGCTCTCACCGCCGCGCCGCATCGAAACTTGTGGTGCGGCAGATTCGCCGCGCAACCCATAAAGCGTGAATCTTGCATTGGGCACTTACATATGACGTTGATGCAAATTATGTTTTTAGGTCTGATGTGATTACGTGATCACATAGGGATTTTCCTTTCATAGTTGAAATACCGTCGACAAAATGACCCATTGGCACATTGTGTGTAGGTATAATAACAAGGCCATGGGCCGTCAACACACTCTCGAATACCGGCGTTTCACGGTAGTGCGCCTCCAAGAGTTTGCAACGCGTTGGCCAATCACAGTGTGCGAAATCTTTCGACCCAATGCGCGTTTAGAAAAGGCCGGCTTATTTCGCACGTTGTGATTGGCCGACGCGTTGTAAACTCTTGGAGGCGCACTATTGTGAATCGCCCGTATTGACATGTAATATTACATTTAATTGTATTCAGTTTCTTTTAACTATTGCACATTAATACTTGACCAATACTAGACTTATATGAGCACCAGTGATTATCTCATCCGTTCATACAGTATTCCCATTCACTCTTCACATCTTGAAAAACCAAAGTAAATTTTATGACGTTTAATGGTCGTTTGTAAGTTTCACATTACTAAAAAAAAAAGGGGGTATGTATACTTGTTTGTAATAAAATCCGTAATTGATATCTCCCTTTGACGCCGCCGAGCGGCAACGGTTGGTTATCAGAAGTGCGTTTATGACACGTCTGCTCATGTGTAGCTGTAAACTTCTCTATGCCGAATTTCGATGAAAGTAGAAATCTCAATTGTAACTTTTGGTCAGTATCGGCTGTCGAATGACATGTTAGCTTGTTGAGGCATAGTTGTTTTTCTTTTCATTGTCAACTTTTCCCAGTTATGAACAAAACGTTGCAATAAAGTTTTCACGTTTCCTATAATAAACCATTCGTTTTCTCGCTGTGACTTTTCAAGTGTAAAATATGGACTATTTTCATATGCCTGATAAATAGTACGGACACAAAGGTGGCGGTTTAAGGCGTGAACGTCCATCGGAATCTTGAACGGCTTGGCTTATGAGACCTTCCTTGCTTATTTTGGAGATTCATGCATTTTGTAGCCTCTGGACAAGGTTGACGAGTGATTGTAACATTTAACGAGAAGACATAGTTCGAGTGGGTCTGAAACGGTATCTGCCCCGTTTTATTTACAAAAAAAAAAATCATGATTCCCGTGTATGTAGTGCAAGGATCGAGAAGGCTATACATTAACACGGCGTATCGAACCTTCTGGACTCATTGACCTTACAACATTCATTGTCAACGTCAGATTAAATCTGTCTGAGGTACACATAAGACAAGTCAGCCTAGCCAGGGCATCTTGACAAATCAGGCAAACTAACAACTCTGCACTTTGGAAACGTGTCTAAATTGCTGTTGCCTTGTACTCGCCCAGTGCATGTTTCTCTGCCACCTTTAATCGCATGGACCCTGGTGAGTTTGTTCCCAAACCTATAATCTGGTAAAGGAAAACCATGCACTTAATCATAGTAATGGGGACTATGTAGAGGATGGGTTGCCCTGAGGTTGTCCTCTTGCTAACACCATGTTTTCCTTAAAATAAGTTTTGTTGCCAAGTACATTATGTTGTTTTTATGTGACTGCCGAGCTTTTGGTAACTGAGTACCTTCTTCAGGGCAAGCAGATTGCCCTGAACTGAACTGATTGAACTGAATCTGCTTGCCATGAAGAAGGTACTCAGTTACCGAAAGCTCGGCAATCACATATTTCAGAGCACTGATTTGATATTATATTCTCGTCGATCACGGTGCTACACAGCCCTTCCACATTATGTTGTTTTCCTTTTCTGCGTTTATTTTACCAGTTTGTGCTCATGTCGGGGCAGTGGGCCAGTTCTATATTCAAACAGCTCATGCCCAGTGCGAGGCTATTCGGGAACAGCCATTTGGGAAAAGCTAGCTATACGCGCGCGCGCAATCAGTGCAATTATACGCCGACTCACGCGCGGACTTTGTTCCCAAAAGACCTTGGCTTTTTGAAATACTGAACTGGCTTATTATTACAGGTGTTGCCTGGTTAGGTGATCTACCGCAACTGCCCTGTCTTCCCCCACAGGCACCAAACTATATTCTCTAGGTAGTGAGAGGCTTAATAAGCTCAGCTTCTCAGGATTCAATCCTTGAACCTACAATTGGGAGTTCCAAACCCTATAATCTCATCAAGTTCCCACTTGTTGGAAAATGATGTATCACATCACGTCTGGCTAGACAAGTTTCTTAATTTCTTCGCTGGCGATATTTTGGTTTAGATATCGTCAATAAGCTGCAGTAATGGAGTGGAATGAAACTTTAAATCAGGTCAACATCCGGACTTGTCTACTCGGATTACTGATCTTCATCCTCCTCTTCTGGTTCCTCCGCCGGCCGAAGAAGTTCAAGTGTACTCCTGGCCCGTGGGGTTGGCCGCTACTCGGTAACATACCTCAGCTGGCCATGATGAAGCTGCCTTCTTACGAAGCGATAACTGAAATGGGCCACAGGTACGTAGAGGGATTATCTTGTCTGGAGGGTTGAGGACAAAAGGGTAGGACAATACGTAGGCTTAGTACAAGCCACCAACACGACAACAGAACAAGAGGTACCGCCACCGTGGAGTCCACATTCTCAGAAAAATGTCCACTTCGCTTTCATCAGCTTCCCTTCAAATCTTGGACAGGGCACATGCTGTCTGACCTGGGTTAAAGTGTACCATCATCACTGGCTAAAGAAAGACAGACTTGTATGAAGCTTTCCGACCAGCTGGGGCCAATTTCACGGAGCTGCTTAAGCACAAAATCAGCTCAAACGCGAGAAAACCTTGCTTGATAAATCACTTAACCAGCCAAAACTCCATGAGATGTATATTGTTTTGGGATCGTATTTAGCTGTCTTTTGGTTAGCTTGACAATCAGATAGAGTTTGAGCTGGTAATTTTTGTTTTTTAAAGTAAGGCTTATTCACGCTTAAGCTAATTTCGTGCTTGATCAGCTCTATGAAATTGGCCTCAGGTTCCTGCACACGTTTGGCTAGCACGCGAAGACCACACATTCCAGAATAAATGCACTGCGCGTGCACAGCGTGCCCGCGTCAAAAGTGAATAAACCTGCGCACTTTTGCCGTGATGAGTTCGTACCAAAGGACTGTCTATTTCATTTAAAAACACGCTCTCTCTTCCCGCTTGGAGCGGATAGTGCCATTCATTCGGCCGTATCGAGTGTGTGTTTCTCCTGGAGTGAAACCAACCACTCAACGGTTGTGTCAGAACTTATTCACTAGCCTGACAGAAAACAATCATTGGTCATCATAAAGACACCTGTTTAAACTCTTCAAAACAGCTTGAGTATTTCTGATATAAAAAGTACAAAATCATAGTTTAAGTGCTTAATGTTAAGGAAGAATTTGTATAGTTTCGTGCTGTTTCGGGTGCTCAAAGTTTTGAATCAGATTATATCAGTGAACAAGAATATAGTGGTCTTCAGTTAAGTTGCTTTTATTTGTGGTCGCAGCGCTGGCATTAGGAAATTGAAATAATATAATTTTTTCCTGAGCAAAGTGCAAAAGTCATTTGCATTGATCCTGAAAACAGTCGTTTATGGTACTAAAGATCGTTCCCCCTCTGTTTCCCTTTTCAACTCACAAGATATGGTCCTGTGTTTAGCTTCAAAGTCTTCAATCAGCTCTTCGTGGTCTTGCAGGATTTTGATCACACCAAAGAGGCTCTAGACCAGCACCAACTCAGCGGACGTCCCGAATTTGAAATCAGCCAGTTGACGAATCCGGGCAAAGGTAAAAGTGCTTATGGATGGTACATTATGCAGGATATAATCAGTCTTGTCACAATCATTCACATCAGAGATTTACCAGCCTATATGCTGTCCTTTCATTGTGAGGTGTTTCTGTTGGCTTCTTTTCGCATGAGATAAATTTAAGTGTGGAACAGATCGGGCCATAATAGACTGATTGCGCCCACCAAATCATGTGGTCTACAGTGAGTATAAGCCATCAACAAACATGGCGTCCTCCTACAGTAAAGTGTGTTTTCAGTGCTGTTCACCAAAATAAGGCCGATTTTCGTCACATGCAGTACCGGTACCCAGCATAAATACGTAGTTCGAATAAGTTGTTTGAATATCGACTTACTTTTGGTGGCACTCTTGACAACACTTTGCGTTGATGGGAGGACACCGTGTTTGTTGATGTTTGATATCCACTATAGGTCACGTGGCTACGCCAAAAGTAGGTTTTTAACTCTTAAACTTCAGTCCCGGATAAAGCATTACGTATTGATGCAAAATCAAGGAACAACTTTTAAGGTACCTTATGGCATGAAAGTAAGCAGACCAATCGGCCGTGATTGGTGGTATCGCCGAAATACAAAGATGGCTGCAGCAATTATTGCTTTTCTTCCTACGTAGGTGTCTTGTCTGCGTATGGTTCTCCATGGATAGAGCTCAGGAAGTTCTCATCGACGAAACTGCGAAGTTTGGGAATGGGGAAGAACACATTCGAACAGCAAATCGCCTCGGAAGCGGCCTACTTGCTGCAGGAGATACGCAAGAAAGGGGCCCAGAGTTTCGACCCAAAGAAGATTCTCGGGAACGCTGTTGCCAATGTCATCTGCTTCTTGGTGTTCGGAAGCAGGTTCGAATACAATGACGTCAGGTTTACGGGGCTCATTAAAGCTATCGGTAATTCCATAGAAAACAGTGGCATAGCTGGAGTGGTGCAGTTTCTGCCGATCGTGTCCAAGTTGACCTTTCTCCCAGTCGTGAAGAAGCACATTGAAAACGACAAAGCTTTCCAGAGAATGCTGAGGAATCTTCTGCGAGACCACGCGGAAGGATATCAGTTCGGCGTGGCGCGTGATTACACCGATGCGTTCCGAGACGCCATTGAGGTTAAAGCTCAAAAGGGTGAGCAGACAGCTCTGAATTCGACCAGTCTCTTCTACTCCGTGTCTGAACTTTTTGCGGCTGGAACAGAGACTATGACGACTACGTTCCGCTGGGCGCTGCTCTACATGATCGCCTACCCTGACATCCAGAGTCGGGTGCAGCAGGAGATGGATCGAGTAGTGGGCCGTAACAGGCTGCCTAGGTGGTTGGACAAACCAAGCTTACCTTACACTGAGGCCGTCCTCTGCGAGATTCAGCGAGTGGCCATCGTTCCCCTCGGATTGCCGCATAAATGCCTGCAGGACACAACCGTGGCCGGGTCAGTATCTAGCCAAAACCTTCAATTTTTTTTCAACCGGATATGCACGGGGCACTAACTAATAAATCACTAGTTTTCCATTTTTTTGACCAGTCATTAACCAACAATTAAAGGTAGACATCCGTAAGATGCTCATCTGCAGCCGAATCGTGTTCCCCAAGTCCAATCACCTTGAATAGGGGGTGCGCACATCGCCAGAATATTTTGTACTCATTAGGGGGGGGGGGTTGTCAAAATGCCAGAATAATTGAACCAACAGCGAGACTTGACAGTTCATTTTGAGGAATCCTCGTAGGGAAAGTTCATTTCATTGTGTCCCGTTATTCCATGATTTTGATTCCAATTTAGTCACAGTGACTCAAGAGCTTGAATTGATATTTAACTGGTCTCAACGTTTTCCAGTGTCCCTCGCTTCCACATGCCGACATCCGTCGTCAAAACCAATCGCATTGCAAAGACAAAGGAACTAAAAATTACTCGAGCTTCTAGTGATTCAATTCTTCTTATATCGTTGCCAGGTACCACATCCCAGAGGGCGCTATTATTCTCATCAACATGTGGCACATCCTCCATGATCCAAACGAATGGACCAATCCGATGGCGTTTCGACCCGACAGATTCCTGGACAGTGATGGCAAGTTTGTTCGCCCGGAAAAATTCATTCCTTTTGGACTAGGTAAAAAGAAACGAGGACCTCCATTGTTTGTAAAATAATATTGTGTCTACAATGAAGCGAAGAGCAAATGTGAAACCGACAAGAATATTATTATCAAATCAGTGCTCTGAAATATGTGATAAGTACTCATGAGTTAACAAAAGCTAGGCAATCACATATTTCAGAGCACTGATCTGATATTATATTCTTGTCGATATTCTGATCACGGTGCTACGCAGCCCTTCCATATTTAAATGTTAAACCGAGCCCAGCATGTTGTTGACATCAAAGGGCCCTGTTGTGAAAATTGTTGGTACAGTATCAATGTCATTAAATAATTTGGCATGAGATATTGCAAGGCGCAGGATTGAAAAGAAAATGACTGTCCTCAGATCTTATGAAATGTTTTCACAGGTCGACGCGTCTGTCTGGGCAAGCATTTGGCGAAGATGGAGCTTTTCATCATATTCTCCTCTCTCCTGCATCAGTTCACTTTCAAGACTCCAGAGGGCGCAGACGTGTCCTTCAAGAGTCACGAGGGGTTAACGCACTCTCCGCAGCCTTTCGAAGTGATTGCAATTCCGCGGGAGTGACCCAGGGCTGCGTGCGGTCAACATTACTCGCCCACAGCCAGAAAAACAAGTGCGTTTTAGGAACCGGCTGCCTAACCCGGTTGCAGCCTTTCATCCATAGCCTTTTGCATTATTACAGTCTTTACCCAGGAACTGACCCTATTCACAAATCGGCCATAGGCCTATTGAGTTCAAAGCGAAGTTCACTTTTTTATTTTTGGGAACCTAAGAATAAAGATGTAAGCAATGAAAAACAGTTCCTTAAAGATAAATTTTATGTACGTTGATGAATAATTAAAAATTTGTGATTTATCACACAGAGCACAAAATAGGCTGACCAACCAGTTGACAGATTACATTGAATAAGACAGATTCAGGGAACATTATCAAAATAATTCCTTGCGAATGAGGTGTTAAAGACACCTTTGGCCTAACCCTCTATTTTCAGAGGGAAACATTGTGAGGATTATGTGCTGTAGAATTATGAGCCAATAACAGAAGTAAAATGCCCAAACTAATGAATATTACCTGATAAGTACGTACCATTCATATTTAATTGGATACCTGGTAGAGGTCAGTATTCATCAACAGCTTTATGCGTAAGATTTATTGCTACACTAATCAGATTGTCTGGGTAAGATATTCAAAAGGTTCAGTCCATCACTTGCAGTTATCAAAAAACAATAATAAAGATAAAATAACAGCAAAACATAAAATAAAATTAAATAAAAAAAATGAAGAAATTAGGCATTTTGTCGAAAGCATATATATTGGCTCAAGGATGGTTAAGGGAGTAAACTCCCTGTGAAAAGATTCTTTTAGGCAAGTTATCATGTAGAACTGTAGAGGGAAATATGTTTCCTTTAAGGGTAACCATGAGAAGCAAGAATATGACCGCTAAGCCTAACTATATACAATGTTCCATGATCATAAGCGATCACTTCATCAACTATCAATGTAATGCTTACTAAAATATATTTACTAAATATCACAACTATCTTTTCCCTCCGGTTAATTACAAAATCACATGTCTATAATAATGAAATATAAAGAACGCAATATATTGACTGTAAATAGTTCTTTTTCCAATTACAAACGATGTAGATAGTCTCATTCGACGAATCCCTCTTACAACACGAGACTGTTGTGAACAAGAGAACACAGCCTTTCACTCTTCAGGTCGTTTTCGGCAACCTCGTTCTTATGCAATTAAGCCACAGATAAGCCTGCAGCCTTGGTGAGAATCACCACTTTACCTGAGAGCGATTCGTCTAAGACTAGCCGTAAGAATGCATCGGTTACCTCAGATATCCTAGACAAAAAAGAAAAGAAAAGAAGGGAGATTTAGGTTGATTCTCACTTTTTGAACCAAAATGGAAATGTGAACCTGAAGAAGTAAAAGGTCTGCATGATACCATCAACTTTCAATTAGCTTTGGTTTTTACTAGTTTTAATAACAGGAATACCAAGGGGTGTGCGGTGAGAGCATTACGTTGTCAGTCATGTATGACACCAGGTTTGTATGAAGCAAAGGTGGTTATGTACTTACTCTAACACTCCTTGCTTGGCCATGACTGCATGTGCCATGCGCAGATCCTCTTCTGGGTGCCTGAATGCTGGATTGTCAATAAGACTTGTTTTGGCGAAGGCAGAACACAAGACGCCAAACGTTATGCCCTGATCTCGAAGGCGTGTGTCAGCCTGGCGGGGTATAAAATAAAAGAACGCATGCGATAATCAAATGAAAAATATGTGATGCCATGCAACGAGTGATATAACAATTTAAAAAGACAAAAAAAAAAAAAACCCGAGATTTACCGCCAAGGATTTGGTCAGGCCGACGATAGCGTGCTTTGTCGTTGCGTAGACTGGCATAAACGGGGCAGGTCCCACACCTGGTGCACGTAACACGTAGGGAAAGGAGAAAATGATGGCATATGCAAACATGAGAAGTTGCACGTACAAACATGAGACAGTGATGATAAAAACATTATAGGCAACAGAAAACTTTGAAGCTTTCATACCACGCACTGTACTTTGATGCGGGCCCTCTATGATGTAGGCCAACCTACAAATTTACCCCTCAATAATACTGATAACGCGATATAACTTTAAAATATCAGTCAAATATTCAGTATTTCTGCTCTGTAAATTTCAAATAGGTTTTAGGTTGTTGGAATGAGTCTGCGGTTATTAGTCATATATTTTGAGATTCTTGAACGTGTTGAATTTATAATCGTAATTGGTACCTTGAAATGTAAAGATTAACAAATAATTAAAGTTTAACAATAAGTCAAATGAAACCGTACACTCTCCTTATAATTCCAGTTGTTCATTTTTTCCTGCATCCGAATGACACTTAATTCCCTCGACCAAACATCACAAGTCACTCAGATACACTAAGACACTCAGCATGGCATGCTCACCAGCCAGGGAAGAGATGTTGATAATCTTGCCTCCTTCTCCCCCACTTTCAGACCCCATGAATTTTATAGCAGTAAAAGTCCCATTGGTTGTTCCTTTCTGAAAAAAAAAGATAATACAGGCACAAACCTTCAGCAGGATTAATCAATGAGGCAATACAAAGGTATACCATTTTCTATGACGAAAAGACACATTTCCATTGACTATAACGGTCCGATCGTACCGCTGACAAAACATCTTTTTTAAAATGCAAATATAGAACTCCATGAGATACGTTGGAAGCAAGACGACAAAATCAGACGTTTCAAGAAGGGTGTAGGATCATCAGGCTAAACGGATGATTGGTGTTGATTCACGCCGGTATCTTTTGTGGATTGTATTCAAAGAACCCCTTTTGTCGTGTACGTAGACAATTAAAATGGGGAGGTAGGCCACTTTGCCACACATTTGTGTATATAGGCCAACCGAGAGACATGTGTACTTACAACATTGACGTCGATGCACAGGTCAGGTTTGGTCTCGTTGAGGATTCCTGCGTTATTCACCATCAGGTTCACGGGTCCGAATCGCGCCTTGGCCTTTACAAAAACCGCTTTCAAATCAAAAATTTCAAAATTTCATTGGCCCTTTATTAAAAACCATGAAATCGCTTTATGGGGGGATATTGAAAGCCGTCGTTGGAAAAAAAGTTAGGGCAAGAGACTGCCACTGAGCTTCGATTTCATGACAGAGTCTTGTGGTCTGGGAACCAACTTGATAACTCTAACACTGACCTTCTATATCTGCAGGTACCGTGACGTCACATTTCATAAACGTGACCCGATCTTCGCCGAACTCCTTCACAAATTCTTGAAGAGTTATCTTTCCCCTTTCCTCGTTCACGTCCGAAAGGCACACACCCTAAACGACATTGACGAAAATGATCAGACAGAAAACAAATTTTATAACACATGATCGTACATGGTCCAATTAATTTGGCGATATGTCCATATTTCTGTAACAAAATAAGTTGCACCGGCGACTTGGTAAAAGACTACTGATCTTGACAATGAAAAACTTTCTGATAACTTCACTGATTGCTGATGACTATTTTAATGTTGCTGATTGGACGCAACTTTGTTACCTTGGCACTTTTTTGAAGCAACGCCTTCGCAAATGCCTTGCCCAGACCATCGGCTGAGCCGGTAATAACCGCAACGGTGTCTGATGGAAGCATCGCCGCCGAGACATCAAAGGCCGGAACCGCACGTGTTGACATGATCAGAGATACGAATCACAAGTGTCAAACACTGAAGCTGAATGAGCAGAAAGTAACGACCTCTCAGGTGTGAATATCTATTCTAAGCAGAAATACACCTCCCCGACAACCCTTTTTAAATCCCCTGGACTGCATGTCGGAGCAACCAATAATTATTTTCAAGTGACCCAGTCACAGCCAAACCTATAACCCTACTCTTGCCGAGCTAAAGTTGGTAACATTCATATGATTCCACAAGCTGTACCAAGAGGATTTTGGGGTAACATTTTCAAGACATGACTGGAGAAAGGCCTTCAGAGCCTATACACTACACCCCGTGAATAATGACACGCACGGTCTGCCTTGGAAAATACCGTGAACCAAGCACTAGTTACCACAGATTCAGATCTCAGTTTGAAGCAAGAGGTTACCCTCAGAAGGCAGACACATGTTTGTTCAACAGCAGAAACAGTCTAAGACGTCGCGCAATTAATACGCTGCAACCGTAGCATTTACCCTAACCATAAACATTTGGAATTAGACCAACTAGAGGCTGTGCTGTAGTTGGACACAACGTCAGTAGGCCCACAGGCCATTAAACATGCCATTTAGTTTAACAACCATGTAAGCATGGTATGTGTTTTTGACAACAGATTTGCACTAACTTTAATTTTGGCCTTGGGTTTTATTGTCGCCTCTCCACACAGGCAAACTGATCTTTACAGAGCTGTACGATTGTGTACAATCACACTACCGGTCCTATTTTGCAGGTGAACGCGGTGACCCTTATCTTTTCTACAGATCGAAAGCGGGAAGTGCTGGATAGATCCGGGCACTGTGTTCACTTTTCAAACCAACCACGCATAGATTGTACTGCACATTTTCTGCTGTTGTTCACTAGCCTAGAGAATATAAATTCTTCATATTCTGTTTTTCACAATAATCGCTATATGTCAATGGCCTAGCCTAACTCGATTTTACCACAGAGTATTACCAGCGCTATAACAGTGCACATATGTCTTACCTGTGTCATCCAACGGTAATGTGGGCAATCCGTCTACATGGGCATGACTCCTACACCTGCCTGCCGCAAGCAACTGTACACTCCTTCAGTGTGTACTAGGCACACTAAAATTAGCGTACGGTCGAGTATGTACACGAACCCAGCGGCAAGCGGGGCCTATCCTTGAAACATGCAGGCTTCGTTGCAACAATCGGTGGAATATAGTGGCAGGGCACTTCCTTTGTTGTGTACTCATTCACCAGTGCAGATTTCGAGCTCTAGCGCTAAACAACAATAGGCCTAGTTGTCTTTTTAGAGGTCATATTGCTGCGAAACTATTCCCACAGAGAAAAACACATTGATTTTTTTCTCCTAAAAGTGTTTAACCCCATCATCCCAGTGAGTTCAACCAGCGCACTCTTCAGTTGAGAATCGGTCCCTGGGCTGAAAATTTGGGCCTAAATTAGCCGTGGTATTTAGTTCTAAAATAGTTCTAAGAATGTCAAATTATAAATTGAAATCTACGAGCAAAAAGTAGGCCTACTACTTCCAATAAAGCTACAAACCTTGATAATAGTCGAGAGTATTGCATTTAGTAAATGTAATTCGATCACATTGTTTCTCAACCGTAATAAGGCACTTGTGAAAGTGATCTGAGTATCTACTATTGGGCCACCCTCCCACCCACTTTTCGGCCCCGCCTCCATCCAACCAACCAGAGGTTCGCAAACAACCCTGTAACCTATCATATATTGAATATAACATTATTCCAATATGCACTGATTGTTCGCGTCTTGAGGAACTGTAAGGCTGGCGGCTGAGTTTCCACATGCATATTAAGTTGTTATCTTCAGCTGATGTATATATTAATTGTTGGCATGTACTGGATTCAAGTAATGCTGTAAGATGTCAGCAACTGTTAAGCAGATTAACATTCCGGGTGAGTTCTCTTTCTCGAGCTTATGAATTGTTTCAAGGAAAAGTTAGCTGCACATGCAACTTCAGCCAAGATCCTCAGCTGACGGGATTTTTTTTCCAGATTGCAGTCCTACGTAGAAGTAGTAGATCGACCAGGAGAGCGGCTGTTATCCAGTTAAATATTCCTGATATGACTTTGTTTCCATCTCATAATGAAGTATTTGAGGGGAGAGGTTACCAGCACGTGCACCCTCGGCCAA